GACCCTGCACAAGGAATCCCCCAAGATCCCACCATGTGGCTGTGAGCATTGTCCAAACACTTCTTGAGCTCAGGCTGGTGCTGTAATCACTTCCCTGGGCACCTGTTCACCTGTTCCTGTTTCCTCTGGGGAAAGAACATTTTCCTGACATCCAAAATAAATCTCCCCTGACACAATTTAAGGCCATTCCCTCAGCTCCTCTCACTGGTCACACAGAGGGGAGGTCAGTGTCTGCCCCTGCTCCTCACGAGGAAGTTGTAAATGCAGCGAGGTCTCCCTTCAGTCTCCTCTTCTCCAGGCTGAACAGACCAAATGCCCTCAGCTGCTCCTCACACGGCTTCTCCTCAAGGCCCTGCACCTTCTTTGTTGCCCTCCCTTGTCCTTCTTGTGTTGTGGTGACCAAAACTGGCCACAGGACTGGCAGTGAGGCTGTGGAGTGTGTCCTACAGCCTGGCTCAGACTTAGACTGCCAACCTCTGGGTCTGATTGGAGCTTTTCTGATTGATCTACAGGCAGACACCTCATCGCTCAGTCCATCAGTTTGTCTGAGAATCAGACAGTAATTTCATTTTAAAAAAATAAGTTGCTACAGTTAATGTTTGCCTTTTTTCCTCTGAGGAAAAAGAGCCCACAGTAGTGAATTAGGAGCAGGACACTGTAGAGGAAGGGACAGTTCAGAGTCTACCACTCCATATCCCTAAGCCCATAGTTAGATTTTAAATAGCAGCTGTCATCTTGCATTATGAACACCTTGTTCGAGGTGTTCCAGACTATGTCAGAGTTCTGCTTCCTCCCAAGAAAAGAGGCACATTACCAGAATGCCCTGATTTACACCTAGAACCCCATGAATTTGAAAGACATGCCAAAAGAAGAATAGGGATATAATTTTCAGTTCCACAGGAAGGCTGAGCTGGAAGCGTAGATCATAATAAACTGAGTAGGTCTATTTTCAGGCAATCACAAAAAAGAAATTCCCCATTCCTTTAGCAGGACCAGTTGCAAAAATAAGGGAGACTTATTTATCTGGAGATCATCTTCAAAAATCTGTTCCACACTCCTTTCTTCTCCCTGTTTGTTTCTATCTCAGCTTCCATCACACGTTTGTTTCTCTTGAAGGACAGCTCTGGAGCAATTTTAGTAAGCTGCAAACAGGTTATTTGGGCAATGAAAATTACTCCACATAAACTCAAATAAACCCAAATATCCTGCACTGCCACTGCTTAAAAATGCCAATCTTACTGTTTGTGTTTCTGGTTTTACAGGATTTCTAAATGTCTCAAAGAGCCATTTATGAGGCTAAGATCATTTAAGATGTGTTTCTTCCATGGTATTTCCATCAGCTAGGAACTGAAATATGATAAGGAGACAGATGCTGGATTATTTCAGCACCATACATGGCTCCTTGAGACACTGAAAGAGCTGGAGAGAAAAAACAAATGCAAAGATTTGAAACAAACACAGGCTGAAGGATCAGTTCACATTCCCTGCACTTCAGACTCTGCAATAATAAACCAGCAGAGCACATACAAACTTTCAGATCCCAAATGAGTTGTCACAGATTTTCTGTGATTTTGGGGTACAAGACATGACATTGTTCACTGTTCTTTGCCCTGGTGGGTCTCTGCATTCTCACACAGCAGGTATTTTCAAAAGTAAGCAGGATGGAGAGTTATCTGGACTGGGAGGCAGAGGATAGTTGGTATTGTCAGAACTGTGCCTCCTTGAGGGGTCAAATGACAAGTTCAGCTACAAGTCTGGTTCTTTTGCAGCAGTGGACAGGAAACAAGCTTCATGTGGAGTGCCCACAAAAAGTACTGTCCTTCCCAGCTCTGTCAGTGTGGCCTCCCTGAGGGCACTCAGCCTTCAGTCTGAAAGATTTGTGCTCACCACAGAATCACAGAACCATTAAAGCTGGGAAAGCTCTCTAAGACCATCGAGCCCAACAATTAACACAGCACTACCAACATGCCACTAAACCCTGTCCCCAGGTGCCTCATCTGTGGTTGTCTTCGAGGGTCCCAGGATGAGGGAAGAGATGAGAATCTTGACTCCATGTTTCAGAAGGCTGATTTATTATATTATGATATTATATTATATTAAAATGCTATACTAAAACTATAATAAAAAGAATAGAGAGAAAGGATCCATCAGAAAGCTGGATGGGAATAGAAAGGAATGAATAACAAAAGCTCATGACTCTCAGAGAGTCTGACACAGCTGGATCTTTGATTGGTTATTAAGTAGAAACAACTCAAATGAACCAGTCAAAGATGCACCTGTTGGTAAACAATGTCCAGACCACATTCCACAGCCATCACATAGTTAATTGTTTACATTTCTTTTCTGAGACTTCTCAGCTAGAATGGGAGAAAAATCTTAGCAAATGATTTTCATAAAAATATCACGATGACACCACATCTACACATCTTTTAAATCCCTCCAGGCATGGTGACTCCACCACTGCCCTGGACAGCCTGTTCTGATGCCTGACAAACCTTTCTGTGAGGAAATATCTTCCAACACCTAATCTAAACCTCCCCTGGCACAACTTGAGGCCATTTCCATTGGTCCTATCACTTTCTGCTTGGGAGAAGACAACCCCCACTGGGCTGCACCCTCCTGTCAGGGAGCTGTAGAGAGTGAGAAGGTGCCCCTTGAGCCTCCTTTTCCACAGGCTGAGCCTCCCCAGCTCCCTCAGCTGCTCCTCACAAGCCCTGTGCTCCTGACCCTTCCCCAGCCTCTCCCCTTATCAATAACACAGGCATTTTCAGGCTGACCTACACTGCTATAAAAAGGTTTCCATTCACACAAGGAAAAAAAGGCAACAGCTGATAAGACATAATCCTGCTGTAACTTTCAGCACTGCAGTAATCAGCAGTGTGCTGGAAGAGCCTTCCAGGAACAGCCTGTAACTGCTTTCCACTGAAGCCTTAGGATCATTTCCTTGCCCACAGAGCCATTCAATTGCTTCTAATCACCTCTCTATCTTCCAGACCATTGGCAAGTACACCACTGAAGAGCAGGAGTGTTTGCCATGTGTCAGACAAGGAGCATTGAAAATAAATCCCCCTACTGAAAGAGAGCAGTATCCCCCATAAATGGTTACCCCACTTTGGAATGACACTCCAGGAGTTCAGACATTCATTTCCAGTTCAGAGGAGAGAGATCCTGCTTGTTTGCTAAACAGCTCTGCTTCCTTCTTTGCTCACGATTAAAGAAAAGCATATTTTTTTCTTATATAACACAAACATCTTAAGTTACTCTTCCCTGCCAGGGCACAGACCCTTGTGCTGGGTGAGAGCTCATCATCAGCAAAGGAAGTTCTGCAGTCACACTGGTGAAATTCACCTTGCAAGCAGATCAATTTTGTAAAACTACATGGGCCTGTTTCAGGGTAGATGTTTTAGATTCTTTAGAATCTTTATATTCCCTTAATTCTCCATTGAGAATACTGGGAGTTTAGACACCCATTACTTCTGCAGTCACTTACATCTATGGTCTGCTCTCTGCAAAGGACTGGAAGAGCAGAGGGGTGCTGGGATCATTTCAGACTGAAGGAAAGACAGGGATTTTGTTTACATGTTTCCTTCTAGAAGGAAGAAAGAAACCTCAGGTTGTTAAACTCATCTTCTTGAAAGTGTTGTCACAAAAACAAAGATGACTTGGCCTTAATGGTATGTTCAGACAAATGGAAGTTAAAAGTTAAAAATTGGTTCCCCAGGTGTCTGTTGCAAGCAAAAGACAAGATTTTGTTCCCTGCCTTCTTCTTGTTCATGTCCACTCATCTCTTGAGATACAGAAACATCTCTCCTGTTTCATAGAAACATAGAGCCAGAGAATGTTTTGGGTTGGAAGGGACCTTAAAGATCATCTAATTTCAGAGCCCTGCCATGGGTGTGGACACTTTCCACTGGATCAGGTTGCTCAGGGTCCATCCAATCTGGCCTTGAGCATTTCCAGGGAAGGGGCACCCACAGCTTCTCTGGATGCCAACTTGTTTACTCTGGTCACAGCTAAAATCAGCCACTCCACATGAGGGCAGAAAGTGAACTTGCCTTTTCTTTGAGCTGAAAATGCTGCAAACCAGGGTAGGAACATATGGGAAAAAAACAGAGGGATCAGAGAGCCCCAGCAAAACTGTGACAAATAAGCTCCTACAAAGAGGCAGAGTTGCCCTGATGTGAGGGAGTGTCAGTACTTAGAGCATTGATCTGTCAGAGTTAGGCTGGGCCCAGCTGTGCTCCTTCTGGGGCTTTGGAAAGACCTGCATTTCAGATTAACCCACCAGCTGAGCCTCTGCTTTGCACCACAGTGAGGGGTGCACGGAGACATCCTCACTGCCTCTGGGTCACTTGACCATGCAGAACACCTGGAGCTATTTCTGCAGCTGGGCTGATAGCCAAGATTCTTTTCCCCTCTCTCTCTCTCCACTACTGTGGCTGGTGCTGGTAATGAATTCCAGAGAGATTCTCTGGGCTTTTCACATAAAGAGGTGTTTGGGGAATTGGTTGTGGCTCACAACACAATCCAGAGAGTAAAAACAGTGGAGAAAACCACCAGATCCATGGAGCTGTGGAAGGTTTACAGTGAAATGAGCTGCCTTTCCAGGGCTTGGACTATGTCTGTGTGAGCAGCCGTGAGATATCAGTGATTCCAGGAGCTGCACAGAGTTTTTGAGTCAGAGCAAAATTTCTCACCTCACTCAAGGTTTTTAAATATTTCAACTGAATGAATCATTTACTCTCAATCAAATGAACATATTATTTCTCATCAGAGATGCAAGGGTGTTCTGTCTTTCTGTTCTGACTGAAAATAAACACTGACCCATCCAGGATGACAGGCAACTTGAGTCAGACAGAAATCTGAACTCTCACAACAGATCTGCAAGAGAACAACAAGAAAACACAACACAAGCAGGAAATCCAGTAAATTACCTTGCAGATACACTTCCAGCTGGTCATGATTCAGTTATTTAACCTCAGTCTCTCCTTCCTCAGCCCATGTTGAAAGAAATGTGTGCCTCCTGCCTGAAGCCTGTGTACCCCATGGAGCGTGTGGTCACTGACAAGGTCTGTGTGCACCGCTCGTGTTTCTGCTGTCGGGTCTGCGGGAGGAAGCTGAGGTGAGTGGTGGAACTCAGGAGCATTTCTTTTTAAGGGATGCCCAAGTAGTTTCTATCAAATTTGTCCAAGGGTAATTCCGACAGAGCAGGACTCAGGAAATGAGAAAAAGGGCCGGGCAGTCTCCCTGATTCCATCTCCATCACTGGAGGGTGAAGTCTGCCCAGCTCAAGCCTTCAGACACCACTGGATCAGGAATCTGCATGGATGATGGTGCAAGGGTGAGCTGGAACTACAATAAATATTCACAGTTTGGGAATACTGATAGGAAATGTCGTTGGAGGAGTCATTTGGGTGCCTCCTCTGTTCATAGAATCATTAAGGTTGGAAAAGGCCTCTAAGATCATTGAGTCCAACCATTTACCCAGCACTGTCCAGCACCAAATCATTTTCCCAAGCTTCACATCAAGCCAGGTAGGTTGGAAAGCACCTCTGGAATCTTCCACCCAGCCTTCTCAGGCCCAAGGAGGCCAGGAGCTCAGGAACATGTCCAGGAGAGTGTGAATGGCTTCAAGGCTGGAGGTTACACAGTCTCCGTTGGGGCCCCCTTTGAACAGCTGAACACCAGTGAAAATGGCTTTTCTTGCATCTCATCACAATTCCCTGTGTCACAACTTGTTCCCATTGTCTCTCATCCTATCACTGCCTCTCTCCAAGAGCACTCCAGCTTGGTCTTCTCCATAACCATAAAATAGACACACCCAGCCAGGAGTTTCTCCCTCCTGACCTTCTCCTGGCTAACCCAGCTCTCAGCCTCTCCTCAGGTCACACAGGTCCCTCACCACTTTAGTGGCTTTTTGCTGGATTCCTTCCAGTACAGCAATGCTTTTTTTGCCGTGAGGAGCCCAAAACTGGACTAAGTACTCCACATGAAATTCTAAAAAAGTCAAATATAGAGGAACATTCACTTTTCTTTGCCATGCATCTCAGGACATAGTTGGCTTCCCCATCCCCAGGGCACAAAGCTGATTTGTTTTAGCTTCTCAGTGGCTGAGACAGCCACCCCCTGTGAGGCTGCTTGAAATCCTGTTGCCCCCAGCTCTGCAGACACTTCCTCCCATCCTGCAGTTGTTGTATCATGGGAGCCCTGGGCACTTTTACCATAAGGTTCACGCTGTGCATACAGGGGCAGAGATGAAGTGCTGGTATATAGCTTGGCTTGTAAATGAGAAAGGGATTGCACATAACCTGGCCTACAGCCCCCAGAGGTACTGCAAGGAAATGTTTAATTTTTCACGTTGTTTTGGTGTTTGAAAGAAAAATCAAACATATTCTGAGAAAGCCAACACTACTTTTGAAAGGTTTCATTCTTCAACCCCCTCCCTCCCTCCCTCCCTTCCCCAATGAGAAATGATTTTGCTGAAAGCCTGTCCATCAGTGCCACAGCTCCCCTCCCACACAGCCACTGACAGCTGTGCCAATGTGTGTTTTCCAGCTTGCAAAACTATGTTGCCCTCCACGGGGTGTTCTACTGCCAAGTCCACTACAAGCTGATGGCTGGGGCTGGAAGCAGAAGTGAGATGGAAAGGATGGAGCACCACCAGGTTCAGCATGGTCCACAGCCACAGGACTGGTGTAACAGGGCCAAAAAGACTAAAAAAAGAGAGAAACCCACATCCTTCAATGCACAGTGTGATCTGCAGCTGGCTGAGCACAGGAACAGCAGGGCTGGCCTCGTAGGGAACAAGCTCAGAGCAGTCTGGCCACCTTCAGAACCAGCCTTGGCTGTAGATGGGAAAGCTGGAAATGGAGTGTGTTTCTGGAAAAATCCTGCACTGAGCCTGCAAGCCTACCAGGCTGCAGGCAGCATAGTGCTCAGGAGCCAGGAGGGAGCAGTGGAGAAGGGAAGATTCCTACCTGGAATCACCTACACCAAGGAAAGAGAGCAGGCGTGTTCCTGGCCCAAGAACAGAGAGCAGAGAGGCCCTGAAGAGGCTGGGGATGGGGATGTGCCTGAAGGGAAGCGGGCTGGGAAGGTGTCCCAGAGAGTGGCTGCATTCCAGCAGGGCCAAGCCCAGCAGAACACAGGACCTGCCTGTGTCCCCCTCCCTCCCATCCTGGAGCCTGTGAAACCCCTGCCTCGTGCCTCCCTTGCTCCCCACCCCACACACCAAAGCACCAAACCCACGCCCAGGGTGTACCTGGGGGGCACAGGGGGCTGCACTCTCGCTGCCACAGAGGTGCCAGTGACACAAAACAAGGTCTGCGTGTCACTGAGCACACCCAGCAAAGGAGGCACAGTCACAGATGACAAGCCTGAGCTGATCACAGCCACCCCAGATACTGCAGGGGCCAAGCATCATCTTGGAGAGGGAATGAACAGCACACAGGCCATTCATGTGCCAGGAGAGCCCAAAACCAGAAACACCACAAATACAGAGCTAAAACATACAGCTGAGGATATTGATCCCCCTGAAGATGAAGCTGAACAAGCCCACTCCCCCCATGGAGTGTTGAGGACCTCTTCTGTATCTTCTGGCTCCCTGGAGCCAGGAGGGCTGGGTGTGTCACCTGAGATCACTGAAATGTTGAATGAGAAATCAAAGGCAAACACCAGAGAATTCCCTGGCAAACAGATGCCATTAACTTTGGGGGAAGCTATGCAGCCATCCAGCAGAAGTGATTTGCCTGGAATTGAGAGAAAAAGGGCAGAATTTGAGAAGACAAAAGAAGATAAACCAGCAACTATGGGAGCTTCTCTGGAAGAACCCAGTCCTGAGCATGCATGTCAGGAAAATGAAGCTGAAAAGAGCAGAGTCTCTTCAGCTGGCTGTCCAGACAGGACAGATGATCACAATGTGTCCTCTTTACAAGAAACAGAACCTCAGGACACATGTGGCCCACTGAAAAGTGACACCCATGAGGGTATTTGGAGACAGGATACTAAATCATCTGGCAAGGATTTTCTAGTATCAACTGACACACCTCTGAAAGGAACTTGTGCCCCTTGCCCCTCACATGATGAAGTCAACAAGCGCAAGTCAAAGGAATCCAGGGAAGTTCTTAGTGAAAACACCTTGCACATTTCTGAGCAACCAGCCAAGACATCAGAATATTCCAAACCAAATACATCCTTGGACAAATGCAGAGGCCATCCAGTAGGTGAAGAAAAAGATATAAAACCTCCAGGGGAAAGCACTGGGCCTGTGTCACAGACCGGGGCCCAGAGCAAGGAGGCCAAAAGCAGCCGAGCCTGTAGAGAGACACCAGGTAAAGGTTTCAGGCTGGGGAAAAACCCCTTCATTACCCTTTTTGGCTCTGAAGACAAAGGCAGAACTCCCAGGAAAGAAGCAACAACCCAGAGGAAACCCACAAAACCCCAGTCAGCCCTTGCCACTTTGTTTGGTCACTCGTCAGAGAAGAAGCAGAGTGCACCAGAAAAACCTGCAGGATCCTCAGAACAAGCAAATATTGATGGCAGGACAGAAAAGGCCCAGGGCCTCCTCAGATCCTGCAGCCAAGAAAAGCAAAATTCCTCCAAGAATGATCAGCTGCCACAGCCTGGAAAGGTGGAGGTGTTCCCTAAACACATCCAGGAGAGCTCTGGAGGATTCTCAGGCCCTGCTGAGAGCAAGGAGACTGATGTCCTGTTGTCAACTCCCAGCACAGCCATGTCACATGATGGCAAATGTGAGAGAACTGAACTTGACATTCATGACCAAGAGTCTTTAAATAGTCAGGTTTGGCAGCCACACGACAGCTGTTGGCCCCTTCTCATGCCAGGACAGAAAAGTCAGAAGGAATCTGCAGGAAGCTCAAATCATGGAACAAACCCTCTGCAGCTTTCTCCAGAGATTGGGCCTGCAGCTGACAACAGCAAAAATCTCACCAGGGAAAGGAATCACCATGATGCTCATCTGCAAGGAACCCAGAACCTGCTGAGCTTGGATGTCCAGGACACAGGGGCACAGGATAGGATGTTTTTTCCACCAGGCAATTCAGAAGAGTTAGGCAAGGAAGCTGAGCTTCAGTTTGGCAACATGGATTTTCTGGGGGGTAGTAACTTGTTCTTTTCTGGACGACAAGATTTCCCCAGTGAAGCAAATGAAACTCCAAATTCAGATTTGCAAAACTCAGAGGCAGAAACTCCACCTCTCTTTGATCCAAATCCTTTTGATTTTTTCCAAGAAATCTCATCAGAAACAAGCACCTCACTAGAACTCTGGGACACCTCCAGCCTCTCGCTTCTTGATGGGCAGGATGAGATTAATATGAGAGACCTGGAAGGGATTCAGGGCGAAATGAACCCTGGTGTCTTGAAGTCTTTCAAGGTGTGGGGACATTGCTAAATCTGCTCTCCCTGTGCCACTGCACTCTGCTCCTCCCTGAGTGCCCTTTGCAGAAATATTACATAACATAAATGCTATAGGAGTTAACAATTATACTCATGATAAAAAAGCTCAAGAGAAACACCAGAGGGTCAAAGCATGAACACGTGAACTCTGAAAAGGGTCATAGAGCATATCAATTCACATGTTTTAATCAGCTGTCTGTAAAAAAAATTTTAAAAAAATATATAAAGGTGTTAAAATGATTACTTTTTAAAATAGAACAAAATGAAATGAAATGGAGTGAAATGAAATAAATAAAATAAAATAAAATAAAATAAAATAAAATAAAATAAAATAAAATAAATACCCAAACAATCTCCTTGCCTCACCAGTGCCAAAGTCACGCTGACTCTGTCAGATCTGCTGGAGGAATAAAGCTGTTTAATGACTGCATCTACTGCAAAGCAGTGTCAGTGCTCTGTGCAGGGAAACTGCTCTATCAACATAAATCAGGGAAAAAAGGGATATCCTTGCGATTTATATGATTCATCAAATGCTGAAGGCAGTCTCACCTTGGGGTGGGCCAGGGAGCTCAGGGTAAAGGAGCTGCTGGCTCAGAGCTGTGCCTGAAGCCTGGCCAGGCTGGGCTTGGAGGTGCACAGGAGGCTCCAGAGACCAGACACCTCTCACTGGAGCAGCGGGAGGTGGGTGGCCCTGTCACCTGTGCAAAGGGGGCTCAGAGCGATGGCCCAGAGGAGTTGTCCCTACCAGATGACACCCATAAACCTGATCTCGCCCTGCCAGCTCTCAGAGGAAGAAGAGAAAGGCAGAAGCACCATGAGGGGTGGGTACAAATCCATTTCCCCAAAATTCAGCCCAGCACAGAGGTGTCCAAAGGGGTCTCCAGCCACTGTCACTCCTGATGTACAGAGAAAAGCCAACTCCATGAATTCATGCATCAATTTGCATGCTCTGTTTCCTGCACTGGGCCTCATTCCCAGGCACTGGTTTCTCTCCCTGAACTTCTCTCTGGGATGCTCCCCCTCCCTTGTCCCTGACATGCATGCACAGGTTTCCAGCTGTCCCATCCTGAGACCTGCTGGTTTCTGATGCTCCCTGGCAGAGGCTTCTCCTTTTTCAGGAGGCTTTGCAAGCCCTACTGACCCACCTGGGCAGAGCTGCTGGAAGAGAGAAACAAGCCCAGGATCCCTACAAGTGGGGCTGCAGCAAAGAGCAGCTTGCAGGGCTGCCCCAGCCTTCCTCCCTGAGAGATCTCCACCATGTAGGATTGACCCATCAGCCCTAGCTGATGGAGACAGTTATGAAGACATCTTTCCATGAGAAATGTCATCTGAGGGTGACAAAGGACTGAAGTTTCCCAGGGCTTCAGAAGAGCCTGGCTGGTCATGGCTGGAAGAACAGCTCTAGGGAAGGAGTCACATCTGCATTAGCATAAGAAACTCACTCAGATCTGGGTCACCCCCAGGGAGGGTTTATACTCATAAATTGGACCTTTGCCACAGAAAATTCCTCAGCTGGGGGCTGAGGAATGGCAGGGAAGACCATGAGCCGCACAACAGGGTGAGCCTGAAGACTTGAGCTTGGTGCACACTGACAGAGAAGGCAGGACAGGGACAAATGTCTCTGCCAGAGCAGATCTCCTTGGCCAGGTCATCCCACCAAAAGGCCAGAGATGCATTTAGGGTAAAAGGAATGTCTGGAAGTCGTTCAGCTCAGCCTCCTGCTCAGGGAATGTCTCTGAAAAACAGCAAGTCCACTCATCCAAGGATGTGGATGCAGAGCTGAGTGATGTTTGGCTGTGTGGTGTGTGCAGATGATAAAGGCACAGCACTGGTGTGAATTTACACAACTGTAAGCAACATTTACTCCTCTCTTCCTTTACTCTGAACAGCGCTAACCAGTGTGATCTCACTCTCCCACTCCACCTTAAGGGTGATGCTTTAAAATCCAATATTCTTCTCCTTTACTGACTTGCATAAACACAATACACTATTCCCACTCCTGAAACACCAGTCCAGGTTGTGTGACCCAGGAGTGACTTTGTGTGGGGCTCAGATATCCTATGGGCATTGAGAGTGAAAGACAAAGCACTGGAGAGGAGGTTTGCAATGAGCAGGTTAGTGATGTGTTCATGGCTCTGGTAAAAGCAGCCTGGAGCTCTGGTAAAACCAACTTTTGCCAAATAACACACAAAATTTCACACACTGAGGGCAATGCAGACAGCCAGTTTAGCAGGAATAAAGACCCAAGCCACTCAGGGAGTCCACCCAGGAAGCAGCTCAGATGTGCAGCAGAAATCAGATCAATCTGCTTTTCAAGTGACATCAGAACCTCAGGCAAAGCCAAGCTGGTGTCATTTCCCAATTCCTGTGTGCTCTGAATGTTTGTGTGTGTAACCTGCTCTTTTCCCTGAGGATACTCTCTCAGCCAGGTCTATTCTAGGATTAGCCCAAGAAACTGTAGCTTAGATCTAGTTTTATGAGTAACCTGGGTTTCTACAAATGAAAACAGAGAGCTTGGGACACAGCTGTCAAGAGCAAGTCTATTGCACTACCAGACATATTTCCTGCTCCAGAGGAGAAGTGTTCTTCTGCTCCTCTTCCATATTCCCTTACATTTCTCTGTCTCCAGGATGCGCTACATAGTCATTAAACCATTAATGGGAGCAGCAAATTTGCTCTGTTTGCATCCCCACCCCCAGCAAAATTAACCCTCATTTGTAGAATCCCAACTTCATGCCTCAGACACAAACCTTGTGCTGCAGCACAGCGGCCTTCAGGAGGCCTTCAGGTGACACTTCTCAGGCTGGAGAAGGACAAGATGTCACTAGACCATCCCCAAGAGCGGCAGTGCTCTGGCACCTTTGTTCTATCCCCAAGAGCAGGGAGGGAATGGCTGGTGACAAAGTGCAGCCTGGAGCACTGCACTGTATCATCAGAATGGACTGGTGTGCCAGTGCAGGTGCTCATTTTATCACTCTGGATTAGGGCTTTAGTGCTCACACAGTTTAAACATTAATATTTGCCTATTTAAGGCATAGGCAGCAGCGCAGCCTGCCCACAGAGGTGCTCACCATGGCTGAGTTTGGGGATCTTTTGAGGGCTCTGGGGGAGTTTGGGCTCTACCAGAAACTGCTGATCCTGCTCCTCTCCCTCCCACTGCTTCTCAATCCTTTCCAAATGGTTGGCCAAGTCTTCATGGTTGTGGAAGTGCCTCACCACTGTGACACCAGCTGGATCCGCGCCGTCGGCCCCAACCTGACGGAGTCTGGGCATGGGAACAAGATGATCCATGATCATACTGAGGGTTTTGTTAGAAAGGCTTGAGTAATTGCAGCTTTGGCAATCCCTAGGCCTTGGTGAAGTTTTGTGCCTATCTAGAGGCTTTGGGTTCAGCCTAGAATTTGCTGACCCTGACCGAGGTCTGTGCTTGCTGCTTGATGGGCTGGGGTGTGGAAAGGAGGGGGTGGAATATCCCAGCCTGAGCTTTAGCCAGCCTGTGCCAGCTGTGGTGCAGGCAGGCTGAGATTTACTGCAGGATTTTGCCTCCATCACACAGATGGCAGCTGGAATCCCTGGGAGCTTGTCACAGGAAGGCCATGGTGAAGATGCCTGGGGAGGGCACGGGCAGGGACCATGGGGGTGGGAGTCCAGCACATGTTCTGCCCACTATCAGTCCCCTTTCCACTATCCAGACCCTTAACTTCATGGTGTATCTGCCTGGAGGGACCTTTTGGGCATCCCTGCCACACTATCCCCTCTTCTTTAGCCTGCTTCTACTCACATCATCTCCTCTGTGAAAGACATTTACCTTCCGAGTTCTTGTCATTGATACTTTTGCGTCTCCAGGAACCTTCAGGGCTGCAAGAAGACATGCCAGGGCCATGCAGCTCAGCAAAAGCCTTGTTTATCAGCATCCTCAGCTTCTGCATTCTGCCTTATCTCCCACCTTTCAGTTTATATGGCAGTGATCTGTCAAAGGTTGTACTTGATGTTCTTGGATGTCTTTTCCAACCTAAATGATTCCATGATTCTGTGGACCTTTGTTCCTTTCTCACTTTCCCTCATTCCTCCTCCCTCCTTTCCTACCTGCCAGCTCCAGCACTTTCTCACCACTACTTTCCATGGAGCTGGGACAGAGGACAAAGTCCAGCCTCTGGCATTTGCAAAGGCTCCTTGGTGCCCCTGAAGCACCAAGTCCATTTCAGACAAGGCTTCTCTGGAGGTGTCAGCAGCTGCATCCCTTCCCATTCCTCCTTCATCAGTAAAAAACACTGCTCTCCTCCTCTTTCCACCCTGCCCTGCCTTTTCAACCACAGAAGAAAGCTGATACAGCTCTCACCCCAAGGCCACACTTTAAACAAAAGCTGACAACCAGGACGCTCCCTCATGGCCATGCAGAGCCATGCTGAGCACCTCGAGTGCCCATCCCACCACTCATTTGTGTCCTAAGTGCTCACCTTGAAGGAGTCAAGCCCTTGTGAGGGCTCCTCTGCCCCCAGGGGCTGGAGCAAGAGCTCAGGCACCCAGATCCTGCATCCACCACCAACCAGAAAGGCTGCCCAACCCCAGAGAGCAGCTGGAGTCTGTCAAAAGCAACAGCCTCTGTGTTTTTCTTCCTCCAGTTTGACCTGGTGTGTGACAGGGCGTTCCTGAACGACGTCTCCCAGTCCATCTACATGGCTGGGCTTCTCATTGGAGCCATGGTCTTTGGGATGCTAAGTGACAGGTGAGGAAACACTACACTTCCTTCCCAGAGACACTGCCCTGCACCAAGGGACAGCCCAGACCAGGGGGAGACTCTGAATGCACTGAACCTTCACAGGATGCAATCCCTTTGCCTGAGACTGGGCATCTGGGACCCCCTGAGAGGTCTGGAAATGTCTGAGGTTGAAAAGAGAGGCAGATACAGCCTTGTGGGGGGGTTCTTCAGGAATCACAAGTTTAGCCCCTGCTGGTGTCTCAGGCTTTACCAGGATGGGTCAACACTGGAGACACCGATTTATCTGCACATTATTTCTTGGAGAAATAGAGGAGCTATGCTCACATGGATGTCAAATCTGCTCTGGTTCTCAAATCACTTTGCATCCCTCCTGGGCTCTACTCTTTCCTCTCGGGGTCTCTCCAGGTACTGACTGGGCCTTCCCTCTCCTTCCACAGGATAGGCAGGCGGCCAGTCTTCCTCATCTGCATCCTCATCCAGGGGGTGTTTGGCCTGGGAATTGCCTTCGTGCCCCATTTCTATGTGTTCATGGCCTTCAGGTGTGTCGTGGGAGCTGCAGTGTCAGGAATTATGATTGTAGGCGTATCCCTGGGTGAGTGGGAGGCCCTTGCCCTGAGGCAGCAGATGTGGCCTCACAAGACACAATTACAAAAGGGAGCCCAAAACAAAGCCTGAACCTTTGTTTTTGCTCTTAGCTACAGAATGACACAGCTGGCCTTTGGGGCAGTGGAGCTTCCAGCTCGAATTTCCTGCATTTTCCTGCTGGAGTGGTTTGGAAGGAAGAAAGTGCAGGGCATTCTCCTGTTCCTGGCTGGCCTGATATGTCTCATCCTCACTGGCATCCCTGAAGGTGAACCTTCCCAGCCTGTGAGCAGAGCTGGCCAGGGCCCTGCACATCCCTACCTCTGTTCAGAGCCATCCTCCCATCCCGGCAGAGCCACGCTCACTCCCACGGGCTCAGCTGCCCCCACTGTCACAGCCCAGGCTGCTTCCTCCCCAGCACTCTGCCTTCCCCTCACCTTGGATTCCTTCTCCCTCAGGGCTGTGCCTGGTTCTCCCACAGCTCCTGGCCCTTGGCAGGCAGTGTCCATTACCCACCACCCACCCACTAGACACCATCACCTCCTGGCAGAAAACTACAGCAGAAGAAGTGCTTTAAAAGCCACCTGGTCTCCCTTTCTTAGATGAAGAGAAAAAGCAAATGCCCACTCCCCCTCATTTATTTGCATCTGTTTGTGCCCCAGTCCATACCCCAGCCCTGCTACTGTGCCAGGGTTGTGAGTGAGACGGAAGGTAACAGTGGGGCTTCCCAATGCTTTCCAGGTCAGGGACATGGCATTTCCAACCAAGCACTCCCCAAACACCTGTGCTGGCTCAGCAGCTCACTTCAGTTGCAGATCTAGAAAATGCCCAAGGCCTCAGGAGAAACCTGGGTTCTCTTTGCCAGAGGGTGTTTTCCAGGTAAGGCTATGCGGGGGATCATTTCCAGTGCGTTAGGTGGTACGTTTGCTTACCAAGTCTATTAGAAAGGGCTATCCCAAGAAATCCCACAGTAGAGAGTTCTGGTCCCAAGTGAACCATCCCCCTGGAGGTTACAGTGGTTGTTTCTCCTCTTCCCTTTCAGACCAGCCCGTGGTAATCACTGTCCTGGCCATCATTGGCAAGTTCACAGCCACGGCCGCTTTCTCCACCTCCTACGTCTACGCCGCTGAGCTCTTCCCCACCATCCTCAGGTGAGATGTCCTCCCACATCAGAGCCTCCTTCCTCCATGGCTGGGGGTGGCCACGGGGCCACATTCAGTGCAGGAGTGCTGACCCCTGCCCACACCTCCCGCTGCCCCTCTCTCCCCAGGCAGGGGTTTTGTTAGAAAGGCTTGAGTAATTCCAGCTTTGGCAATCTTGGGTTCAGCCTAGAATTTGCTGACCATATGAAGACCCATTCAGCTTTATTTCCTGCAACTACATCTCACACAACTGTCAAAGGAGTTGACTAGAACCAAAACTGAGATTGTTACCAATGTGTTAGGAATGTTGCATGTGTTCTAACCTTTCTAATTTCTGGTTATAAAGCCCCAGAAAACCATCTGGTGACATGTTCTACTCCGCTTTAATTGAATTTCAGGTTTGCAGACAGCATTGTCTACTATGGGCTGAGCCTCAGCGTGACAGATTTTGGTCTGGACATCTACCTGACACAGCTGGCCTTTGGGGCAGTGGAGCTTCCAGCTCGAATTTCCTGCATTTTCCTGCTGGAGTGGTTTGGAAGGAAGAAAGTGCAGGGCATTCTCCTGTTCCTGGCTGGCCTGATATGTCTCATCCTCACTGGCATCCCTGAAGGTGAACCTTCCCAGCCTGTGAGCATGTTCCCCAGTCCTTTGCAAGCTGGTACCCGTGGAACCATCCCTGTCGTGTTTTTCAGCAATAAAAATCATTGTTGCAGTAAAGACACATATTTTCTCATCCACCATAGCCAGTCCTTATTCTTCACAGCTCATGTTCATATGGCTTTCTAAAGGCATCATGTTTAATTCTAGTTGGTTAGTCACTTATTGCATCTCACTTCATTGGTTTGTAGTTGTTCTTGTCCGTGCATGATAAAGGCTTTCTTCTTTACAGATGTTTACTTTTTTTTTTCATGGTTTCTCAAGAGTACAGATTTCTTATTTTCACAGGTGTCAGATGGTTCTCACGGGTAAAGGCTGCCAGGCTGATTCTCACGGATACCCGTCAGGCCAGCTGTTTGCTGTACCCAGCCAAAGCCATAGGCCTGAACTATGATTTTACAAGGTCTTTCTTTGTAAGGTTTTACCCAAATGCAACAAATCACCAGTAGAGTGGCTGTACTGGGCAAAGACAGGCACTGGGTTTGTCCTTCTTGCACTCAGTCCCTTGGGTTGATGGGCTGCACGTCAGCCCAAGCCTCGACGTTTGATCAGGATGTCACTGCACCCCTGTCACACACGTATTTAGCTTTTCTTTCTGTGTGGTGTTGAAGTTGAATTTCTACATGAATAATATAAATTATGCTCTGAGTTTGATAAGAGACACTTGTAATGCAATATGTGAATAATAAATGGTGTTGACTCTTTTTTTTCCTACTGTTTCACAGTTGGCCTTTGTAACTGCTCTTGGCTCTGGAGTGTTTTCTACACAGAAGTCTGTAAGTCTGTAATTTAATATGCAGATGGAAATGAGCTTTGTTTCCATCAGACACAAACAATGCAAAAACAATGTTAAAGCAGAGTGGCTGAGTTCAATAAGGACTTTATTTTTTCAAAGTCTTCCAATGAGCAATCTCCATTTATTTTCTCTACTAGCAGCTGTAGAAGTTTTCTGAATTGCATGGGAATTCTGCAATTCGATTCCAAACTGTGTGGGCTTTGGACTGTTTTCCTCAGTCACGGTGAGCCTTTTACAGTGACCTTTAGTTGGCTGCTGCCAGCTCAGTCATGACAATTAAGTGTCATCTAGTGTCATGCAAAAGGAAGAGAAGGGTGGGCTCCTCACCTCTGCTAATTTGTTTGCCAGCAGAGGATGTATTTCAGTGCTCTCTGATGAATTCATCTCCTCAAGCACATTACTACTCTCAAAGAAGGAGAAGGCTGCTCAGATTTGCTGCACCCTTTGGTTTCCAATCTCTTTGTGTTCTAGTAAATAGTGTTTTGAGGGCTGGAGTGTCCCAAGTCCAGGCCAGATGTTCCTGGTGCTGATATTCATTTTGTGCTTTGGCTTTGTTGCACAAAATCACCCCAGTCATGTGGAACTTGGCCATGTCTGGAGATGGGATCAGGAGTTTGCAAGATCTGGGCTTTGGCACTGGAGGGAAGGGACCTGGCGAAGGGGCTGGAGCACCTGGAGCAGCTGAGGGATCAGGGGAGCTCAGCCTGGAGAAAAGGAGGCTCAGGGGGCACTTTCTCACTCTTTTCAAATCCCTGAGAGAAGGATGTGGCCAGGAGAGGGTCAGTCTCTTCTCCCAAGTAACAAATGACAGAACAAGTGGAAATGGTCCCAAGCTGCACCACGGGAGTTTAAATTGGATAATAGGGGAAATTTCTTCTCCACAAGGGTTGTCCAACACTGGAATAGGCTTTCCAGACCTCTGGTGGAGTCACCATCCTTGGGGCTATCTAAAAGGCACACAGCTGTGTCATTTAGGAACACGGTTTCATGGTGGATCTGGGATGATGGCTGGAGCTAGTGGTCTTAGAGGTCTTTTCCACCCTAAATGAACCAATGATTCTATGGCTTCTTGCACAGTCAGGAGAGCAGCTTTAATGCTCATCTCCTCACCTCCTCAGCCATTCCCTGCTGGTTCCCTTTTTGCAGGCTTTGCTCTTCTCATGGACCTGGGACTTCCCAGCATGGGGACAGGTGAAAGCAGAGGGTGATGTCCTCTAGGTAAAGGGGAAGGTCCAGGATGCTGACACCTCTGTCCCACAGCCAGGATTTCAGCACAGTTTGTTGGTGTCACTGACACTGAAAATGTGCTGATTATCCCAGTGGTCCCTGTGGGGCTCCTCTGACAACAGGAGCTGTTTTGGCTCTGCTTCTGTGTCTGGGGGTGATTTTATGAAGATACTCCATTCCTGATCATCTCCTTTATGTCCAGAAATGGCTGCTGTACTTTAAGGTTGGTCTGGGGCAAGGGTGTGAGCCTTGGCAGCTCCTGCACAGGTTTTGTTCAAAGATTCGCTCCAGAGTGTGCTGGGTGCAGTGCAGACTGGCCATGACTTTGCTGTTGTCTTGGTTTAGAGACAAATTTAGGAGAAAATGCCTTGGAATTAATGTTTCTTCCAAGAGAAGGGCTTCAGTAATACCTTTTGCCAACAAGAGAAATGAATACCAGTGGGTGAAAGTGAAAACAACCCTGTTTATAACAAAGCAAGGTACCTGCAAGGCACAGAAAAAGACTGAACAAATGCTAGATATTTATTTTCAGAACCTTACCCCCCACCCAACAAAAAAACTCAAAATGTCCAGGGAAGAAATAAACAGGCTGGCTGGCCACATGGCTGGGAAGGCAAAAATGGCAGTGGCCCCTTTGTCTCTGGGATGGGGAAAAAAAAAAAAAAAAAAAAAAGGAGTTCACATAGCAGCCAGATGGGAACCTGCTCAGCCTCTGGTATTGGTGTCCTCCTCACAGCAGATGAAGTTGGTGGATTTTGGTGTCCTTTGTCTTGTTGGTTCAGCTTTTTTTTCAGAGGTCTCAGGCTCAGAGCAGCTCCCGCTGGTCCCCTGCAGGTCCTGGTCCATCTCAGCAATCGTCTGATTTTGGACCAAAAACCAAGCCAAAAGAGTTCATGAATAAAAAACGGAGGATCGCTGCTGCAGATCAGGGGGAAAGGTGGGGAAAGAAAAAAAGAAACTTCTTGTTTAAGCTACTGTTGTACTCAGCTAGCCGGGGAAAGCGAAGCGGCAGAAGCTACCAAAAAAAAAGTGAGTTAAGCACCAAAGTAGTTGCCAATGTCCACAACAAGGCACTGAGCAAGTCTGGGAGTGAGCCTTAAATTGCAATGCAAGGTGTGGCTGGGGCGTGTTTTCTGTTGCCATCTGTTAGAACCAGCTGGGGCAGTTATCTTCTGTTAATGGGTCAGCCATTAAAGCCAGGTGGGGCAGTTTCCTTTGTCTCTTCCAGGACTCATCCTTCCCCCAGGAGATCTCGCTTTGCAAACCAAGACAGTCTTTGAACAAAGCCGTCACCGGGGCTCCCAAGCTCCTGATCCTCCCCCCGAGATCCATCTTAAAGCTACAATGTTTTACCCCATTTCTGACATAAAGAAAAAAGAAAAATATTCAGAGCACCATCATAAAATCACCCCAAGACTGTTGCTTAGCTAGCTTGGGTTTTTTGTTAGCTTAAGCAAGAAAGTTGTTTTTCCCCTTTTCCTGGCCTGAAGAGACTGCAGCAGCAATCCTTTCATGGCTTTTGGTTTTTTTCTTGAATTGTTCACCTTGGTCTTGGTCCAAGATCAGACAATCACCAGGAGTCAATCAGGCAGGAGTGCAGGAGCTGCTCTGTCCAGCCCAAGACCTCAGGAAAAGCTGAACCAACAAGAGAAAAGACACTAAAATCCACCAGCTTCATTTGCTGTGAGGAAGAGACCAATGCCAGAGGTTCCACAGATTCCCACCTGTTTTGCCCGAGCTGCTGCATGAACTTTTTTTCCTACCCTGAGACAAAAAAGCTGGTGCCATTTTTTTCCTCCTGCCACACAGCCGGTCTGTTTGTTTCTTTCCCTGGCATTTTGGGGTTTTTTTTGTTCTGCTGTGGGGTGTGTGTGTGTGTGTTGGGGGTAAGGTTCTGATGGTTCAATGTGTAGCATTTGTTCAATTTTTTTCCTTTGCCATGTGGGCACTTTGTCAATAGTTGCTTTTTTTCACTTTCACCCACTGGTATCAATTTTCTCATTGACAGGAAAAGGGATTACTGAAGCCTTTTTTCTTTAGCAGAAACACTCATTCCAGAGCATTTTCTCCTAAATTTGTCTCTAAAATGAGAAAACCTGCTCTTCCCAGCTAAACCCCTCTACCCCATTTTGTCCTCATCACCTTGTTAACTTTTTGGCTCCCTCCCTTCAATATGGAATCATCCTCTTTGCCTTAGTTATTCCTTAGCTCCCATTTTACCCTTTTCCCATGGCCTCACAATCATAAGAGCCCAGAACACCCCACTGTGTGCATGCAGAAGTGTATTTGCATTCCCACAGGTTTATGTTTGCATTCCCACGTGCTGTTCCAGCACTCCTGCCTCCCCTTTGTGCTGTCACCTCTGCTCATTACAGTGCAAGGCCATGTGTGGTCTGGCTAGGAGTGACATTAAGGCACTGCAAAAACATTGGACATCCTCCTACTTGTGCTGAGCTGGGCAAAACACGAGTCAAGCTGTTCAGGTGCTCTTCAAGTGCACAGTCCAGGGGTATTCAAACTCACAAGATTCAGTGAACCAGAGAAGAGCAGATAAAATACAATAGAGAGCTGTTGGAGTGAGTCCAGAGGAGGCCACAAAGATGATTAGAGGGATTGAAGAACCTCTCCTATAAGGAAAGGCTGAGAGAGTTTGGATGGCTCTGCTTGGAGGGGAGAATTCCCCAGGGAGACCTTAGAGCCCCTTCCAGTGCCTAAAGGAGCTCCAGAAGAGCTGGAGAGGGACTTGGAACAAGAGCATGGAGTGACAGGACAAGGTGGAATGGCTTAAAACTGACAGAGGGGAGATACAGATTAGATGTGAGGAAAAAATTCTTCCCTGTGAGGGTGGTGATGCCCTGGCACAGGTTGCCCAGAGAAGCTGTAGCTGTCTGTCCTAGGATGGCTTTATGATTCTTTTATCCCCAATCATGTGTTCTGTTTATGCTGGATATTAAGTTCTGCACCTTTAGGCTGGTTCAGAGAGCGAAGGGGGGGAGAAGAAGAGCACAGTTTGTTATCAGAAACTGCACTTGCTCCCCTACATCCTTCTCCTGGACTGTGTTGTCTGCAGCACGGACAGTGGGAGAGAGCTCTCCTCTGCTTGTAGTTAGTTTTTAGATAGCTGAGGCAGAAATGCTCCCCAGGCTGTGGTTTTTCTTTTTCTTGGACCTGTTCAGCGCTTCTCTGGACTGAAAACCCAGAAGAGCACTGGGAGCTCACACCTGTGGCCCACTGGGCCCAGGATGTGGCATTTGCAGTGCAGGAGGGACTGATAAGAGACTGAGTGAGCCAAGCTACACCCCACAAGAAGGACTTTCTAAATTTGCCATCTCTTTAGAACAGCAAGAGGTTTTACTGTTTAATATTATTCCTTTTTTATGCTTCTGAATACTTTGCTTGTAAAAAAACCAGGTTTTTTCCACTTTTGTCCAAGGAAATATTTTCTCAAACCAGCTGGGGGAGGGGCCGCTTGAATCTGCTTTGTAGAGGAACCCCTTTGGAAGTTTCCTCCCAAATTTGCCCTAAACCAGGACATTGCCCCATCCCTGGAAGTGTCCAAGGCCATGCTGGATGTGCCTTGGAGCAATCTGGGGTAGGGGAGGATGTCCCTGCATGTGGCAGGGAGGGATTGGAACGAGATCTTTAAGGTCCCTTCCCACCCAAACCACTCCAAGATTCCATGAAATGGATCTTCAGCCTACTGGAGGCACAAATGGGCTGGAAGCAGACATACATCAGCTGTGCTTGGATGCCTTTATTTATGAAATGAGCCAAAACAGAGAGTCTGAGAGTACAATTTCCAATGTTGTTCCTTCAATATGTGTACATTTGGCTCCAAGCTCTTCCCTCAGCCTTTACCCTCAATGCCTTGTTTTCCATAAAAGCCTGAGGGAGGCACTCCCCAGCCTTTTCCAATGAAAGGACAAAGGACTGAATTCCTTTGTTCTCAGGGTACTGAAGATGAGCACCACAGCAAATCCTCTGAAAAGCAGTGCCAGAGAGAAAATGGCACCACAGCCAGTCCCTCCTGGCAGGACAATGTCACATGGCACTGCTTTTATCCAAAACTCTGTCTTGATCAAACTGAATATCCATGAGGTACTTTGGTCCATGGAAAACATGTAGGCATGACAATGGAGAGAAGAAATACTGTGGTTTAACATTTCTTGACACTACCAGAAAAAAACTTTTGAGCTGTACAGTCAAAGATGAAGAACCACCATGTACAACTCCAGGCTTCTTCTGTACCCATCCAGTGGGAAAAGAAAGTTGGATTGAGGGGCATGAGGTAATATGAAAGGAAGCACAGGAAAAACAAATTTTTTTCTTCACAATATAAGACAAAAGTGGTCCTAAATCTTTTAAAGACAAAATGGATCCAGCAAAAAAGGAGTAGATTAGAACAGAGTAGAAAAGACTTGACATTTCCCAGAAAGATTTGTACTTTTTTCTAAGAGACCAACTGCCACAACATCCCTCATTTTCCTGGAATGGATAAATCAATTTGGTCCCACACTGCAGCCCAACAGCACCATTTTCCATGCCCAAAGCATCATGACAGGCATCAATTCAAAGCCACCAACACTGAAGCAAAAATTCTGCTGCCTGTTAGACATCCTTGCTCCCTGCATGCTGTTTCTTCCATCACTTTTTTTTTTTTTCTCAGCTGAGTATCTCAAATTAAAAAAAAAAAAAATTAAAAGGAGTGTTTTTATGAGAGAACGGGATGATCTTGCTAGACAGTCACGATAAATCACTCCTTGCAAGTGTGAGATTATTTTCAGTGCTGCATCTGCTCCAGCTCTCCTGTTAGTGAGCCCAGCTCTCTCTTGCAAGTTTATTCAGTGCTCTAGTGGGTGTCTCACTGGACAAAGTTTACAGTCTCACCTTCCTGGAGACATAACAGGAAAAACACAGAGGAAGTGCCTCCATTCTAATTCTCAATTTCTTTCTTTTTTCCCCTCAAGTAAAAAGCACCTAATTTTCTCTGGTGACAGCACTGTTGGACATCAGTGACAGCCTGCAGTGCCTGAGGACAAGCTACAGAGGGAGATACAGGAAGGCAAAAAAGACAAGGAAACCCAAGAACTGGCAGTGATGGCCTAAGCAAAGGTGTTGTCCTGTGGTGGAGAGACCCTGCCTGTCCTCAGTGCCCACACTGTGGGCATTTATCACTGGGCTGCATTTCTCCACAGCCACCTGCAGACCCAGCTAGAAGTACGTGGTCTTCGTGCTCTCATTGTCTTGGCCACCATCTTTCCCTTTCACCTGCCCATTCTGAGAGCTGCTGGTGGCATTTTCGGGGACCTGATGAAAGGGAAAAGTGTGTAAAAGCAAGGAAAGGTGTGCGAAGAGCTGATGGCAGCTGTCCCTGAGACAAGCAGCCTTCAGCAACTTAGATCCCATTGCCGACTGTTCCTGTGGACACCCTTCTCCCAGCAAGACAACAAAATTATTGGGATGCAATTCCACCTGGTCCCATGGGGAATGAGGGCTGGGAGCTATGAGAGGGTGAAAGCCAGAGGATGCGGCTACAAGGCACCAGCGCTTCCCTGGGGAGGGCAGAATGAGGAAGCACTGGCTGTTGTATCCCACGGACAGGAATGAAGGGATGACCTCCACATGCAGGATTATGGGGTCTCCTCCCTTCCCTCCACAGTGGCACAGCCCCATTCCATTCCCTCCCGCCTCTGTAACTCCCAAAGGAACCCCCAGCACATGCAACGCCAAGGGGCTCCCCCAGAGCTGGCTGCCCACGTCCCCACGGCAGAGGCAGCACCAGGACCCACCTCAGCCGGGGGGTGGCCGTCCCCTGTGTCATCTGCCAGCTCGGTGCCGCAGGTCTCGGGCAGCAGGACGCAGAGCAGCCCGCCCAGCACGGGGGCGCTGCCGAAGATGGCCATGGGGATGGCCCGGTGGTACTGGCCCAGCAGACGGACCAGCGGGGCCAGGATCCCGGCCACCCGCGCCGCCATGGAGCACAGCCCCACGCCCGTCTGCCTGGGGAGACAGGGGCGTGTGGGCTGGGGTCAGCACCCCCAGGCCACCGCGGGGCTGAACGTGGCCATGGGGACAAGAGGGCTCCTGCCCCACCACCACTGCCCGCCACGGCAGAAGGAGGCTCCAAAGTGTGGGGAGAGCTCACCTGACGACCGTGGGGAAGAGCTCGGCAGCGTAGACGTAGGAGGTGGAGAAGGAGGCTGAGGCAGCAAACTTGCCAATGGTGGCCAGGACGGTGGTTGCCACGGGCTGGTCTGAGGGGAGGAGGAGAGATGGCTGCTGTGGGATGGGGAGGGTTCAGCACCGCTCACGGATGGCGACTGGGGATTGCAGGGAAACTGTGTCACCTGCAGGGAGCCATCGCCTCTGACAGCGTCTGGGCATGGAGCAGGCTGCTCTGGCCTGGTGGCCACATTCAGTGCACTCTGCATCCATCATCTCACCTCCCCAGGGATTAATTTCCCCAGAGCACAGCTCTGTTGACAGGGGGCCCACTGGGCTCAGGTCCGCCCTCCACTATCGCCATCAGCAAGAAAAGTTTTCTTTTATTTTGGAATGGGCCCTGTGGGTTCGGCCAGGCCCCTGAGGCCAGGGTCAGCTCCGGCCTAGAGGGATGTGAGCCACCCTGGCTGGGAGGACAGAACCAGCAAGGGAAGGGTTGGGGCTCTGTGCCTCCCTGTCCCAGAGGATGGCCTCTCCATGTGGGATGAGGCGGTTCACCTTCAGGGATGCCAGTGATGATCAGACACACCAGGCCACTCAGCACCAGGAGAACGGCCTGCGTTTTCCTCCTCCCGAACCTCTGCAGAATGAAGATACAACCAACACGGGCTGGGATTTCCACTGCTCCAAAGGCCAGCTGAGTCAGGTAGATGTCCAGGCCAAAATTTGTCACGTTCAGACTCAGCCCGTAGTAGACAAAGCTGTTCACAAACCTGAAAGCCAGGCAGGGTGGCACTGAGCACATGTCAGCCATGAGGAAATGCAGCATTGATCTCCAATGACAACATTTTGACCAAGACACAGCATTTCCCAGGAGATGTAAAACCAGAGGAATACCACAGGCCTGCCAAAGCTGGAAATGCTATAACCTTTCCCACAAAGCATCTTAAACAGCCAGAAGCAGAAACACCCATTAAATAACACTCAAAACCCACAAGGCGAATTTCTTAATGAGTAATTCAATCCCTTCCTTTCTTTCACCTGGAAGTTTAGGAAGAATGCACCAGGGAATGTCTTACCAGGCAGATGACATGATTAAAGTCACCTTCTGCAGGTGCTTCTTCCGGAAGAGATCCAGGAAACTTCCAGACTTGACCACTTTCTCAGGCTTCAACTTCAAAGCACAGAAAGCCAAAGAGTCAGAGCAGAAAAGGAAACCCATGTCCAGCTCCTTTTCCACGTGCAGTCCATGGAAAGCCTCGCTGGAGCAGGCCTGTGACCCCAGTGCTCTGGCAGGGAGGGCAGCCCCTCTGCCCTCTGGGTGCCCAGCACAGGGGGTGGTGACTGAGAGGTTCCTCAGGATGAACATCTCCCCAGTGTAGGAGCTTTGGGGTGGGCAAGGAGGGAACTCCCCTCCAGGCGTTTCTGCATGGAAACCCACAGACAAAAGAGAGACTCTGTGCTCATCAGTCCCACTCCTGGAATCCTCCCAGGAGAAAAGCCAGGGAAGCCTTTCAGTCCTTCCCACATCCCCAGGGGGACCCAGAAAGCTCCAGGCTGAGCCTCAGCAGAAGCTGGGCCTCTTCCCTGACCTCGTCCCTGTGGAACTGGAGCTGGAGTCCCCCAGAGCCCATGGGCAGACCACCCCCAGTGGGAATGCAGAGATGCTTCTGGGATGAGCTGAGCTGCAGGGGCTGCTGCAAGGCCCAGGGCAGTGTCTGAGGACAGGAACCCCCAGTACCTGCTGCAGGAGCTCTGCTGGGAGGCTGCGCTTGTTGGTGGCTGCCGCCTTCTGCAGGAGCTTCTTGGCCTCCTCGATTCTGCCCTTGGTCACCAGCCAGCGAGCTGACTCTGGGATCACCCTGCCAGGAGAGGAGGCCAGCAGATGCTGCTGTGTCCTGCTGAGATCCCCCACAGCCCCTTTCTCTGGGACCATGTCCAGCAAGCCTTGGAATGACGAGAGAATCAGATCCTGGAACCACAGAGTCTTCAGCGTTGGAAGGGACCCGCAAGGATCATCCAGCTGAACTCTAAAGTGAATGGCCCATGGGATCAATGGGTCTAAACACCCTAAATGTAGGCTCCAAAGGCCACATTTGGAGTCCTGAAGCAAAGCAGCTGCTGCTCTCAGCAGTGCAGTGCCCAGGGAGATGTGCTGAGCTCTGCAGCAGCTCCTCCAGCACCTGCACTCCAATGGGAGAGACCCAGCTTGGTTCTGAGCTGCTGCCTCCTCCTCACTCACACCCTCACACTGCTGTCACATCTGCAGGAGCTCTGTCCACATCCTACTTACCCGATCCAGAAGAAAAAGGCAAATATAGGAACAGATCCTGCAATTTGCAGCAGCCTCCAGTTGCGAATCCCGTAACTCAAACCAGCCAAAATCATCTGCCCCATGGCGAAACAGCAGTGAGAGGTGAGCACTGCCTTTGGCCGGGAGGAGACACCGATCCATTCTGTAGCTGAAAGGAAGAGGGAAGGCTCAGAGTCATCCAAATTATTTCCCCTGAGGCAAACAGGTGTTTCCCTGGAGAATTATTCTGGAGGTGAGGATTAGACTGACCTCCTGTTCTGGGACACTCCAGTTGCCCTCCTGTGAGCACTGGATGGAGAGAGATGCTCCCCAAAGCTCTGACTTAGGGCTGAGAAGTTGCCAAAGTACCAAAGGACAGTGAAGATCAAGACCTGTCCTCGCCACAGTGTTTTTCTAGTTAAACATGAATATTTTTATTTCTTTGAAGACTTATTTATTGCATCTTGAGATGCCCCAGGGCAAGGGCATCCTACTCACCTAAGGCCAGTATTGTCATGGTGATCCCTGACACGGAGGCCCCCACCACACACCTGAAGGCTATGTACACATAGAAATGGGGCACAAAGGCAATTCCCAGGCCAAACAAGCCCTGGAGGAAGACGGAGATCAGAATGACCGGGCGGCGGCCGATCCTGGGGGAAAACAGGGAAGACACAATCAGTGTCTGGAGGCCCCATGGAGATGGCAAGGAGCCCAGCAGGTTATGCAGGGTGATTTTTATCACCCTGATAAGGCTCAGAGTAGACTGTGGGGTGACAAGCACTGTACACACATGCTGTGTCTCTCTCCCTTCCCCTCCCTGTGTGGCCATGTCCTCATGGGACCAGAGGACTTTGGTCAGGGTCCCTGTAGTGAGAAGTGGTAACAAAATGCACAGAGTGCACAGTCCAGACAGGCTGACACCACCTGGTCTGTGCCGTGCTGGCTTTGCACAGACCCTGGACAGGGGGTTGTGGCTCCTCACCTGTCACTCAGAGGCCCAAAGATCATGGATCCCAGGAGCAGCCCTGCCATGTAGATGGCCTGGGCAATGTCATTGAGGTCCTTCCTGTCACACACCAGGTCAAACTGGAGAAAGAAGGAGATGCTTTGGTATCCCCACTTCCAAGGATGTGAATCCCCACAGTATGCACAGGGCACACAAGTCAGAGGTGGGACAAGCCCTTGGGGCACTCAGTGGGGACCCTCTCCCTTGCACTGGGACCTGCAGGAGTCCCCCTCGTTCAGCCCAGCCAACCAGGGGAGTGTCCTGGTCAGCAAATTTTGCTTTAGGTGGGCCTGGGGACAGAAGCAGCAGCTTGCTTCCTGCCAGACCACCTGAGCTCCCAGAGGAAAAAGGATGCAATGCTGATTCCTGGGACAAGCAGTTTCTGTTAAATAGATGTCCTGCAATTGCCAGTATCCAGATATCAATGGAAGGAGTGACATAGGAAGGATCATAGAACCATAAAATGGTTTGGGTTGGAAGGGACATTAAAGATCATCTAATTTGAACTCTCTTGCCATGGGCAGAGTACCTTACATTAGACCAGATAGATCAAAGCCCCATCCAATATGGCCTTGAACACTTCCAGGGATGGGACAGCCACAGCTTCTCTGGGAAACCTGTGCGAGGGCTTCACTGCCCTAACAGTGAAGAATTTCTTCTAATATTTAATCTAAACCTACTCTCCTTTATCTTAATTTAGCATCTTTCTCAGCTAACAATTGTGATGTTGGGGGTTGGACTAGATGACTTTTAAAGGACTCTTCCAAGCCAAACCATTCCATGATATTAAGTTGGAAAGGTTAACCCCTTTATGCAGAGGAATAGGGAAACCCAGGGGCAGGAGGTCCTTCCAGGAGTTACTCATCTCCCCACTGGTACTTCTGTCACAGCCTGCACCCTCTCCAGGACCACACCTGGGGCCTGCGTGGTGGAGCCAAGGTTCCCAACCCACACCTGCTATAAATCCCAACGGCACCGTGGTCAGGCACCAGCTCTGTGGGAGCTGTGGCCATTTGGGTGTCCCATTCCTTCCACACCCCAGCCCATCAAGCAGCAAGCACAGACCTCGGTCAGCAGGGACGGTGGCTGCTCTGAGGGGTACACCCAGCCACTGCTGCACTTCTGCGTGTGGTTCAGTCCATAGGCCAGGATGGCATCCAGGTCCCAGTCCACCGGGGAGAACATGGAGCACTGCTCAAACTGCCCGTCGGCGCCGCGGGGCAGGGTGAGGTTCAGCTGCTCTTCCTCCGTCAGGTTGGGGCCGACGGCGCGGATCCAGCTGGTGTCACAGTGGTGAGGCACGTATGGCACCATGAAAAGCTGGCAAAACTGGTGGAAAGCCACACTGAGGCAGGGGATCACGGAGAGCAGCACCAGGCATTTCTGGAGTCGCCCAAAATCACCAACTGCTTTCAAAATTTCCCCGACACCTGACATTGGTGGCTGTGTCTGGGACAGGACAGTGCTGGGACAGACTTCCCAGGGGGCTGGAATTAATGTTTAAACCTCAGATAAGCTCTGCAGTCATAGGCAGTCACTAGAAGTACACCATGTAATATATTAATCATCCCTGCACCACCCACAAACATCCAGTGCTAGCTGGAGCAGAAGAACCCCTGCTTCAGGGAACCTGGGCCAGCTCCTCTGCCAGGGCCAGGTGGCATGGACAGGGAACAGACTCTTCTCCACAGTGACTACAACAGCTTCAATTGCTGAACCACTCAGGAAAGCCAGGTTCAGAGGAGCCAAAACAAGGGTGCAGGGCTGGGAACAGCCCAGAGGAGTAAAGGGAATTCTGTTAATGGATGGGCAGAACCAGAGATGAGGAAGGGCAGCCAGTTCATTGTGATTCCAGGGGATGGGAGCTGTCATTCCCTTCATCTTTTGCAGCTTCCCTGTACAACACAAGCCAGGCACAGGATGTCTCTTTCCACCAGTTCTGGGCCACCCTGCAGCTGCTGGGGGCTAAATGCGGGAAGGACTTGGGGAAAGGGTAAAGGGATGGAGAAATTTGACACAGGGCAATGGTGCTTGAGGCCAAAATGCCTAAAATGATCATCGAGAATGTGAGTCCACCACTGCTCAGCCCATCCCTCACGTAGGAAAAGCATTTGCCTGGGGCCCCTTTGAGATGTTCACGAGGTGCCTGAAAGCCACTTGGATACTCCTGCTGCCCACAGGTCCATGAGAAGGACACTGAAAAGCATGCTGGAAAACAGACCATGGATGCCCCACTGGGGCTGACCAGGGCACCCAAAAAGAACAATTACTGCGGAGGAGAGGAGGGAGTGCACTTCATGCTCTCACCACTTGTCATGGTGTAAATCCTCCCACTTTCACACCAGCCTGTGTCATCCTGAGGCATTCCTGGACAGAGGAAGCTCATTCCCAGTTGCACAGGCCATGAAGAGCTTGGAGCAAACCACTTGGCTACAGACAAGCTCTCAGGGCACCATCCTCAGTGCCCTCCTGGCTCCATTTCTGCACACAACTCCTGCAGAGATGCACTCATGGAATGGTTTGGGTTGGAAGGCACCTTAAAGCTCATCCAGTTCCACCCCTGCCATAGGCAGGCACACCTCCCACCAGACCACGTTACTCAGAGCCCCATCCAGCCTGGACCTGATGTCCCTTTCCCCACTGAGTCTTCCTGGGGGCTGTCAAACCTCCCAAACAGAAACACCCCAGGGGTTGCAGACACCACTGAGACAAACCCCTTCCTCAAGACACACCTACCAACCCAGTGACAAACAAACCACACATCAAACACCTGGCAATGGACAATTTGTTCTTTATTGATTAAAAATTAGACACATGCAGTAAAATACAAAGTCCAAAAAAGGAAAAAAAAAGCCTGACTATTTTACATCTTTCATTATAATCTACAATACACCAAAGTTGTGAAGAGGATCCGTTTTCATTAACAGAGCATTGTCCTTAAAAGTAGGAACTAACTTAAAATTACCACCTGCTTCCAGGTTCAGATCAGAAATTTGCACAAAAACCAAATTCTTAATGACACTGGAAAACAATTATGAACAGCATTGGCACTTACTGGAACAACATCAGAAAAGACAGTTGTCTAGCACTGTAATAGCCCAAGTAAATATTCTGGATCCCTACCCAAAAGATCTGGAGATCCATAGAGCAAAACCCATCAGCTTCTTCCTCGTTTATTTTCTCCATTAAAGAACTACGGAACCTTGGGTTAGCATGAGCTCAAGCTCTCTAAGTCCTGGCTTTGGGAAAATGGGGAGTAACAATAAATAGATGCTGCATTGTTCCATTTGAGCAGTTTGAGTCCTAACCTTCCTCAGCACCAGTACACAAATGAATGAGGAGGTCCCCAGGGCATGCAGGCAGAGGGAAAATAATACTGTACCACAACTACCTTGTCTCTGTATCCTAAAGGCCCCCAACACATCCACACTGAGCACAGGGTGATGGGAAAATCAAGGTGCCAGCCTGCTCTTCCCAAGCCAACAAGCTCAATGGGGGACACTGCAGGGAGTGCTTTGTGTCAGGCAACAGGGAATGGTGCCAACACACATTTGCCAACCCAGCCACCAACTCCCTGCTATCGGGCACTTGCTTCCTGGGCTCTAGAGAGCACCAGCTCAGCACCCCAGGGTGATCTCACTCCCAAATTCTCATCTTCCTCTCCTTCCCCTTCACACTCACCAGCCATGGGGCTGCAAACAGCCCATGGGGACACACCCAATATCCAGCCAGAGGCTACAAGCAACAGGGGCGGTAAAAAAAGAACATGCACAATTCAGGAAGCTTCCACAGCTGCTCATAGAGAACAAGATATAAATACAGATTGTTCATCTGAAGACTTGGAAATTAAAAAACAAAAAAAAACAACCCAAAAAATGAAACAGAACAAAAGTCCTAATTGAACCTAGTCATTCTGCTCTGTTTCTGCATTGTTTGTGTCTGATGGAAACAAAGCTCATTTCCATCTGCGTGTTAAATTACAGACTTACAACTTCTGTGTAGAAAACACTCCAGAGCCAAGAGCAGTTACAAAGGCCAACCGTGAAATAATAGGAATAAATAAAGTCAACACCATTTAGTATTCACATGTTGTGCTACAAGTGTCTCTTATCAAACTCAGAGCATAATTTATATTATTCATGTAGAAATTCAACTTCAACACCACACAGAAAGAAAAGCTAAATACGTGTGTGACAGGGGTGCAGTGACATCCTGATCAAACGTCGAGGCTTGGGCTGACGTGCAGCCCGTCGACCCAAGGGGTTGAGTGCAGGAGGGACAAACCCAGTGCCTGCCTTTGCCCAGTACAGCCACTCTACTGGTGATTCTTTATTGCTGTAAAACACGACAGGGATGGTTCCACGGGTACCAGCTTGCAAAGGACTGGGGAACACGTTGGGAGGCCAGCCAGGCGTGACCAAACTGGGTTTCAGGGACACTCGGAAGCACATCTATTCCAAAGGCAGAGTGACATAGATCTCCTCTCCCTGTGACCATGGATATTGTGTTCACCATCTGAAAGACCAGTTTCCAGGCAGCAATGCCTCCCTGGTCTAATTCAAGAACAGACTACGTCTAAGATGCAGAATGAAAGCAACAGGAAGGACTGCTGAATGTAAATTAAAAGGTTCAGCCCTCATGCCATGCCTGGCACTCATGTGGAGAGAACCAAAATGATAAAGAAAAAAGAAAAAAATTAAGGCAGTTTACATAGGGAAGCTGACTTCTAACACCTCAAAGTCAAGGAACTTCTCCAAACACAAACACAAGGGAAGGAAGCTCTCCCTCCTGTGAGTTAAGACTCTGCTTGCTTTCTCAGGTGCAAGCATTCAAACCAGCAGTTTTATATCACACAGCCAAAGAGAAGCAGATTTCTCAGCACTCCAGGTGACCCAAACAACATGTACATTGGTGTTTCAGAGAGAAGGAGAAGCAGGTAAAGAACAAAAAAAAAAAAAAATAAATCCGTTCAGTATTAAAACTTGTGCAAAAACAGCAAGTGAAAAAAAATGAAACCACATGTAAGCAAACACTTAGGCAAGATCATCAGAGCAGTGGAACCCCCTGCTTCGTACTCAGTAGTATTTTTCTTTAAAGTAAGGCAATAATAAAATGAACATGCAGGCAATGACGTGTTGGGTCTGCATGTTTGAGATGACAGATACAAAAACATGAGAGTTGTTTACAAAAGGTGTAAACGTCATCGGTAATTTCAGGAAGGTTTGTGATCCTATTAAGGAAAATGTTAAAGCTTCTAGGAAGGGGGCTGTAGTTCAATTCTTTGGCAGTAGTGGTTTTTTTTTTAGGCTAACAGAAGCATTACGAATATGCACATGTGGGTTCTCTGTTGGGAAACATCTCCTGGGACCAATGTTTAGCTGATGCTGAGCTGTGCAAATCCTATAAGTTTGCCATCATCCGGAATTTCTGAGCCGTCGACACCAGATGCCTGAAACAGGGAAGAGAGATCCAAATAGCAACACACATGCTCTACCTTCCAGCAGGAACCACAAGCAGGTGTATCAGACAGGGTGGGGGGAGGAAGCAGCCACAGGAGAGCTTTGCACTGTATTCAGCAGCTTGCACTACCCAAAGTTAAAATGGAGTGCTTTTGTATTTCTGCCTGGTTTTTTTTTTTTTTTCTGAAGGTATGAAGGGCTGGGACTGAAGTTTTGCCAATGTCTGCTCCAGCTAGATATTATATGTGCAATAACTGGGGTAAAACTCCTTACAGGAAGAGTGAAAAATAAGCACTTCACTCCCATTAACCTGGTTAAGCCTTCACATTGCCACTGTAACTCCCCCTGAATTTCACCACCTCTAAAATTCACCTGTTCTAGTCCCAGTTTTGGCTCTCTTCTTTGGCCCACCACTCTTATTTTCCTTTTTTTTTAAATTTGTTTCCCCATTTCCTCCTCAGAAACAATGTATCTCCACCCTCCCTCATTCTCTGCCTCCAAAAAAAGCAGTCTGTGACAATTCTTAGCCCATCCACCTGCCTTGAAATATTTCTACAAGTGCACATCCCAAGCCCCAAAAATACCCTCTGCAACATTTACATATATTAATTAGCACATCATCTCATGCTTATTTATCCCAAGTGCTGCTCAGAGGATACAAGCAGGGAGTCTGCAGTGCCTACAGTTATACAACCAGTAAGAGGCTTTGGGAAAGAAGGGAGGATTTAGAGTGCATACATCAGATGCCTGCAGTAAACATCTACATGCAATGCCTTCTCCTTGCAAGGGACAACTTGATCAATTAGGGAACAGGAATAAATACCAGTCTGAAAGTGATGGATCTGTTTGCCTGGGGCTCTTCCACAATTTTCTGCAAATTAGCTGCAACTGAAATCACACAGACATGAAGAAAATGGGCAAATATTAGGACAGGCTGAAGAAAAAACATCCCAAACTCATTAGTCTTCTTTCTATTACTTAACAAACTTTGAATTTTTACATTGATAAGGAAAGGTTTAGGTCTCAATTAGACTCAGTCTACTTAAACCTAAAGTTCTGAACTGTGAAAATGCTGTTATTGTTCCTACATTATTCTTTCAGAGGTAGTTATCTTTCCCAGGATGTGATGGGATCAATAGTAATAAATGCCAAACTGCATCTGGAAATCCAGGCAATTTTGCACTAGCAGCTGTTCCTGTGTACAAGGAACAGCTTTGCTTGCTGCAGTTGGAATACACAGGCAGTGCTGACAGTTTAAGTCTCACCTGCTGCACAGGAGGATTCATTTATTTAGCAAACTGCTGTTTGAGGCAGCTGTTCCCCCCCCTACAACTTGTGCTGCTGCCCCAGGGCACGTGCAACTCACACTTCATTCCCCAGCCCTAATTAAACCCAAAAAGCCTGGCTGATTCCAGTCCCAGAGCTCTCTTGCACAGGACCTGTGAGCAGGATAGGCTTGTGCAGCAGTTTGATGATGCATCCCTGTCAGATGATAATGATTTGGCTAATGCATCAATTAGACTTCATTCTGCATTACAAGGAACATTTGCTTCACAATGTTACCAATTAAATCATCTTCTTGTGAACTGGGGGTTGCCTACATGTTGGCACAGAACTGTCACCAGAATTGACAGCAGTTGTGCAGGGCCAGAGGAAATGTTCCTATCACCCACTAATCAGGTCATTTTTAACATGCAAAAAAAATTACTGAAATGGTTAGAGCAGAAAAAATAATTTGTAATTACCTATTACCAGATCTCTGCCATCAACAAGACCTGCTGAAATCAGCTCCTGAGACACACCATCTGCAGTATCTGTTGGGGAAAAACCCAAGAGCCATCACCACAGAGCAGAAATGTCCAGCTGGCAAAGGCACCACACAGAAACCTAAAGGAGCTTGTACAAACCAAACAGCAGAAGTGCCCTTTACAAAAGACAGATATCAGGGTGCACACCAGGTGCTGTGAATTCACTGGAATTCACTGAAGGACTGCACTTTAGCCATATCCATGAGTTTTACAGCAGTGCTCCAAGCCCAACCACAACAAGCCTTTAGGGAAGGCACTATGGACAGACACACAACAGCACAACACCAAACACAAAACTTCCTCTTCACACACTGGAATTTCCCACCAGCTCACCTTTCCCTGGGGTGAATTCAAACCGAATATCATGGAGCTCTTTATTTGAATTCCTGTGGAAAGAAGAGAATTTTATATAAAAGAGACCATTTCATGGCATGACAGGTGACCAAAAGAGAGTGCTATCACTGAATAATCAGCCTGTGAATTCATTGCATGCTACCCCCTCAAAGGAAGAAACTCATCACTTGGATGTGCATGTGGAAGCAGCACAGTCTGCCTTCCCAACCTGACAGAGCCTGGGCCAGTCCAGGATAGGTGAGTGCCACCTCTGTGCTACAAGGCCATGCTGTTTCCCTGTCTCAACAACTCATATCCCTCAGCAGAGATATCCTTGGAGCATGTTTCAGAGGAGGGAAGTGCTCACTGGCTGCAGATGCACACCCATTATGGAAGTGATGCTCAGAGTCCCCACTCCAATGCCCACCAACAACCAGGATGCCTCCAGAGATGAGAGGCAGTTTCTTTTCATGAGAAACAGCAGCATGTGCAATAAGCATAGAAAGATTCTTTTTTCTGCCTGTTTCCAGTGACACAGACCAGAATACACTCCCTGAACTGGGTAAAAGCTCTTCACTTTCAGAACTGGCTGAAGTCTGAAGTTGTGCATGAAGATTAACATGGACCAGCACAAGGCCAGAACTCCTCGATCCCTGAATCCTTTTAGGGAGCCCAGGTAGTTCCTTTCCCACTCCATGAGAGTTTAGCAATGTTTACATAAATATCAAAACCTCTTTCAATACAGGTTTTGCCAAACCAAAGTGGATGTGATAAACTGCTTTTCTCGGCTGCAGTTTCAGAAGAGCAGTTGAAATCCAAGCTGACAAACACTTAACCACCACTCCATTAATTAAAAGGCACAGAAGAGTGCCAGTGGGCCTCTCTACAAAGGCTCATGTGAACAGAACAGGTCAGCTTTGTGTCCTTACCTTAACCTTAATACAAGGTTGATGGGGACTCTCACATCTTCCTGTACCGGAGCTGCAGCAGGGGCTGTAGGTGGGGCCTGCAACAGGATTACATCATTTTAAGGCAGGTTAACAATACCTTGCTCTGGTTTTAAAGCTAGAAATAACCTTGATCAACTGTAGATACAAGTAAAAGTTTGACTCATCAATAGAATCATGGCACTACAGTGAGAAAGGTGACAGATCAATGAACCTTCACACTTTAACAGGAGGGTCTCTGCAATTGTCTTGGAAAGAGTAAAAGCTGCACAACTTTGAGAAATGCCAAAATGGCAAGAGACTTCAGAAGTGCTAAATGTGAAAAGGTTACTTGCTTTGCATTAAAACTTAAGGTTTTTGGATATTCATGACAGCTTCAAGACCTCCTGTGTTTTAATCCCTGCCCCAAACATCTGATTTAAAAACCTGATACAACTGTATCAGGAAAAAATTGAATTGGCAGATTAGCATGTACTCTCAGTTACCTTTTTTTTCCACGAAATCAAAGGCTTTAAGAGCATCCAGCAGCAATTTTATAGCTACCTATTTTCAATTCTAAATTACTTCTGAGTAACTATTGGAACATGTAATCGAAATAATTTCATTTTGGTTAGCAGCAGATTTCCAGTAGGGAGGATCCAGGAGTTGCCCTGCACTTGCTACAGCACTTGTGATATTTCCACTACAGAGCTAAGTGTTATTCCATCTCCACCAAAAAAACCCAAATGAAACAGAGAGGGGTCAGTCACCTGTACTGCCCATGCTGAGGCAAGGGCTTTATACCTGCAGGAACAAAACAGACACAACACCAGGCTGATAATTTAAGCACAGAAGTCTTGACAAAGTGTTTTTCATCTAGACCACTTGTTTTTTTCACAGGAGAAAAGGAAAATAACCCTTTGTTTAAAACTAGCATTTTACTCTAAGGTGCTTTTAGCCCAGCAATGCAGCTCAAGGCTTCTGATCACAACCTGGTTTCTGTTGAAGCTGAAAACCACCAGGTCAGTGAAAACAAACACGGGTTCACTGAGAAGCCCAGAGCTGAGCAAAACAGTAACTCTCAAGGCTTCTGATCACAACCTGGTTTCTGTTGAAGCTGAAAACCACCAGGTCAGTGAAAACAAACACGGATTTCACTGAGAAGCCCAGAGCTCAGCAAAACAGTAACCACTGAACAACAAGTACCAGAGGAGAGCCATAAAGAATAACACACACTGACACAGAGAGCTGTGAGGAAGAATACATGCAGAGCTATAAAAAACAGCATATTGACACTAAAAGCTATAGAAAAGAACACACTGACACAAGTTCATGAAGTTCAGCTTAAGACAAGCTACCAATAAATAAGATATTGGGCACTAGTGGCATATGTTCTGTTAGCGCATGTCCCAAGTGTCACTGACACCAACACTGCTCCAGCCTTCACTGCTGCTGGTGTTTCAACTGCTGCATAAAATTCAGGGATTAAATACTGGCATTTAAAGAGATGTGAAGGGGGTTGATTTAAGTATCGAAGCTATTTTAATGTCACCAATAATATGTCAAACTTCCACTGTTTCAGATTGTTCTGGCACATCTGGAATACCACAACTAAGGGCAAATCTGAAAGCTGGCAGGAAGGGTCTGCTCTTACCTGGGCTGCTGCTGGGGCTGCTGCTGGGGCTGCTGCTGGGGCTGCTGGGGCTGCTGGAGGAGCCTGGCTGGGTGGAGGTACAGCAGCTGGAGGTTGTGCAGGTGCTTGTCCTGCAGCCTGAGGTAGTTCAGTAGGTGCCTGTGCTGGAGCATTGAGTGAAGGACCTGGAGGCTCAGCTGATGGAAACAGCTGCAAGCAAAAAGGAGTTTTAGTGAGAAAAGGAACTCAAGAGTTCTGATTCAAGCACCAGCTTTCCAGAAGTGCTTGTCTGCCACATAAATCACTTAGAGAAGTTCAGTGCCAAGGGCATTCCCAGGCCTCCAGGGAATGCTGATTCCAAGTTGGTGTTCAGGGCTTTAATGTGTCCTTACGTCCAGGGACCCATTCTGTCCTGACATTTGCAAGTTCTACTCACCAGCAAACCAAGATACCAGCATGGCTGTGGATCTTGGACAAAAATTACACTCTGTGGCAAGGCTGCATGTACCTAGGTATATCCAGCTGGGATGAGAGCACCATATCCTTCAGTCTCCCTCTTTCCTGGAATCTGAGTCCTACTTGCATTTTCAAGTAGCCATGCCCTCAGAGCAGAGGAGCCCTGCTTTGACTTGTAGTTCCTTTCAGAGAACAAACCTCAGCAAAGCAGTGAGGTGCCTATTGACAACTGAGCCTTTCACCAAGGAAATGTCAGAGTAATTTGGGTGTCAATGGAAAGTGAATTTAGAGTTCTTCAAATCACACTAGAGACGATTTAGGATTGGGCTTTACTTTAGTCTCCTGCAAAAAACAAACCAAGATACCAGCATGGCTGTGGATCTTGGACAAAAATTACACTCTGTGGCAAGGCTGCATGTACCTAGATATATCCAGCTGGGATGAGAGCACCATATCCTTCAGTCTCCCTCTTTCCTGGAATCTGAGTCCTACTTGCATTTTCAAGTAGCCATGCCCTCAGAGCAGAGGAGCCCTGCTTTGACTTGTAGTTCCTTTCAGAGAACAAACCTCAGCAAAGCAGTGAGGTGCCTATTGACAACTGAGCCTTTCACCAAGGAAATGTCAGAGTAATTTGGGTGTCAATGGAAAGTGAATTTAGAGTTCTTCAAATCACACTAGAGACGATTTAGGATTGGGCTTTACTTTAGACTCTTGCAAAAAAACAAACCCAACCAAGCAAAAAAAAAAAAAAAAAAAAAATCCATATGAAATTAATTGGAGGGTGGGGAAAAAGAGCTAAATGGAAATTTAATCTCTTTTTTACCTCTTATTATTCTGTACAGAGAAACCAATTTTGGCACAGGAGCCAAAGAACTGTCAGCTTGATGGCACTTCAGTGTGCCCTCCAGCTTACACTGGCAGGCTGTAGGAAATATAAATCACCTTCAGTGCTGGAAACCTGGACAGGAGACTTCCAATGGGAAAATTCACCCCAAAGGGATTCTGGTTTTCAGCTTTTTTTTTTTTTTTCTTTTTTTTTTTTTTAATTTAGAATTTATGTCAAATTACAGTGCCAGAACTGTAGTCCTTCTCAAAGTCTCCCTTTATAAACACTTCTTGGAAACAAATTAAGGAAGAACAGGACAGCCCAACCCAAGACTAATTTCTAGGAGACAGCTCTGTTTATCTTTCAACACAGGTAGGGAAAAGACAGACATAGCACAGACTCTGGCAGATAAGCTGTCCCTATCACTGAAAGATGAGACATACTAATATTCCTAATGTAAGAAACAGTTCAGAACTGAAGAAAGATGATAAATTGCAACAGAAGTTGTGTTTGCTATCAAATACTACTACAGAGTTCTTTCACAGTTCTGAGCACAAGTTCCAAACCAGAGAATTAGACAGTGCAAACCAGACATCCTTAAGTTGTGTTCTGTTGGGTTTGTGTAGTTTGGGGTTTTCTTTTAAGGAGGAAATGAGAAGACAGTTGTTATGCTCAGATTATTCTTGTGACCAATTAATTACCTTGCAACAAACAGACTTTTGCCACAGCAAGCTGACAAGAAATACAACAAACTTACCTCAAGAAGAGCTCTTGGCACTACACAGCCAAGGATTCCTTTTATACGGAGCTCTTCAAACAGAGCTCAGCTAGATACTGGCTTTACTTCACACAATATTGCTTTCAAAGGCTAATAAAGCACGTTCCTTGAAACAACAGCAATAACTAGGAGTCATCTTTTCAAGAAGCCATTTGCAATTCTAACTTACCTCGGAATTCTGTACAGGTTCTTTCACTCTGGGAGACTAAAAAACAGAGAAAAAAATGTCATTGCCTAGACTACAGTGAAGCTTACTGACTAGGAGGACTTGTCAGAACCATACTGAACATGAGAAACCTACATAATTGTTTGAAGTTACACATGTGTATTAAGATGCATGATAAAAGGGACACCACACAATTTGTTGTCACATTGTACCACCCAGAAACACAGCCACATTTCAGACCCTGTATTTCCACAGTGACACACAATACCCTAAGTTGCTATCACTGTTACTCATTAGCAAAATCCAGGACTCTTGAAGATCACTCAGATTGGATCAAATTACTTAAGCATCAAGATGGGAAAATCCATTTTAAGCTACTCAAGTCTGGCAGAAAAAGACAAACACAGATCTGCCTGGCAGAATTCTGATAGAAAACAAGTTCCCTTCACTTACTTAGGGTGGTAGTTTCTCAACCAACTTGCTTAAAATATACAGAACCTTTGTAGGGTGGGAGGGAGGAATCAGCCTTGCCTGTGCTGCTTTTTAGAAGGAAATCCCTGGCCTGCTCCCCCTGTGCTCTTTGTGAGAGAAAGCAGAGAATTGACAGGTAGCTGTAGACTCAGCAGTGAAACTGAAAGAGACCAGGGAACAATGGGGAAAGTGCAGGCAAAGCAACGTGACCAACTTTTGCTCATCAGTAAAACAAAGATAACACTGCACCAGCTGTTTCACATGAGCAGGGAGGGGAATTGCCAAGTATTCCTGGAAAGCCCTGCAATTAAGAGAACCTGCAACTTTGACTTCCAACAAGCCCAGTTAGTAGAGATAGGTGGGATGGTTTGGTCTATGCTGAGAATAAAAAACCCCTGTTCCTTCTCCACATAATGGTCTAACAGGTTGCTGTTTGGACAGTACAAGCAGGACAGCAGAACATTAAGGCTCATCATGCCCCTACTCTGAGAGAGTTTCTCCACTAACAGAGGCCACTGCCTTAATGAGTGCAGATCAGAGCAATTTGTAACATATCACTCAGAGGTTTCTTGTGAGAAAAGGTTAAGAAGTCTTACTCTCAGAACAGCAAGTTTCAAAAAGGCCTCTGGACACAGGGAGAAGGAACAGTTCCCTCAGCATGACTGTGTGTAGGCAGTGTCAGGGAAAAAGTCACACAGCCAGAAAGGTAAAGCCTGAAATCCACCTCAGTGTGCTCAGCCTTCACTTGACAGTTACCAGGTGGGATGAAAAACATGGCATTGCTCCCAGAGAAACAGACCTGCTCCACATCTGCAGCTGCAGTGTTCTTCCAGGAACAAAGCTCATATCCAAGAGTACCTGGATGCCTCAAGGATTTACATAAAAGGAAAGATCAGTGTGCTAAGCACTGTACAGATGAGTATGGAAACACTGCCCCCGCCCCTCAGCTGATAACTAATCCAGATAAATGACCAACAGAAGTGGTGAGAGCCAGTTGAGTATGAGCCAGCAAGTGCCCAGGTGGCCAAGAAGGCCAGTGGCACCTGGCCTGTATCAGGAACAGTGTGGCCAGGCAGGGATTGTCCCTTGTACTCAGCACTGCTGAGGCACCTTGAGTGCTGTGCTCAGTTTTGGGCCCCTCACTACCAGGAGGACACTGAGGGGCTGGAGCGAGTCCAGAGAAAGGCAGCAGAGCTGGGAATGGCTCTGGAGCACCAGGAGCAGCTAAGAAAGGTGAGGGGGGCTCAGCCTGGAGGAAAGGAGGCTCAGGGGAGACCTTCTCACTCTCCACAACTCCCTGACAGGAGGGTGCAGCCAGCTGGGGATCAGGCTCTTTTCCCAGGTAACAAGTGAAAAGAAGAAATGGCTTCAAGTTGCACCAGGAAAGGTTTGGATTGGATATTAGGAAAGATTTATTTCCTAATATCCAAGGGAAAGGGTGTCCAGGGAAGTGGTAGAACCACCACCTGTGGAGGTGTTCAGAAAATATGAAGAGGTGGCACTTGGGAACAGGGTTAGTGGTGAACGTGGTGGCTCTGGGCTATCAGTGGGACTCAACAATCCTGGAGATCTTTTCCAACCTTAACAATTCTATGACTTTATTAAACACGTGCACAGAAAGAAAACAGGACACACATTAAAAAACATTTACCTAAGGCACAAATAGGATGACTTTGGGGATTAGTTCTAACTAATTTTTGCTTGTGTAATCAAAGATGATGTGAGTAAGCAGTGAAATGTGACCACACAACTCACCACTGCAAAGATTTATCAGGTAACAGAAAGTCACAATTTAAAAGCCCACAGAGCACAACTGCTTTAATTTGAATTCAAGGTTTTAAATGCAGAGAGGAAGTTCAAAAAGTCTCTATATTCAAAAGGCAATGTTGACCCAGCAAGTCACCATATTGAGTGAACTGAAGAGATATTTCTGGCTTTGGGTGAAATAAATATTTGCCTGCTTTCAGGTACAGTCCTAGGAAGAGACTTGTAAAATACATGTTTGCACCTATTAAATTCACCCTATTTTTTTCTGTGAAGTGGAAACAAGTAAAAAATGCCAACACTTTCCACTTATGTAGACGATTTTATGCAGGTTATACTTCAGTATTTTAGCACATTAAGTCAATCTGCAGGGCCTCCTTTTACTGCAGTAAAATGCAGATACAGACAGAATCACATAATCACAAATTATTTTGGGTGGGAAAGGACCTTTAAAAATCCTCTACTCCACCCCCACTGCAAGGGGCAGGAAAAAAAGGTGCCACCTAGTTAACACAAGTTACTCTACCCAACAACTTGGTTAAAATTGCAGAGGGATTTATAGACAGGTAGAAATTATACCAAGTGTTTGAAATAGGACCAAAAACACAGGATAAACACTAATCCTCAATAACACCACCGTATTCATGCAAAAAATTGGCAGTTTGGATACAAGTCTTAGGACTTCTTGAAAAGGAATCAAATTCAAGTACCCAGGCAGACATGTAGAGAGGTCTGAGGTTCCACAGTGCCCTTCCTGACATCCTGGAACACAGAGGTGCCCCAGAGTGCTGTGTTACACATGGGCTGCCTCCAAAGTGATAATATGCATCTACAGGGAGGTAACTGAATTAAGACCTACTACTCCAACATCCTTTCTAAAGGTTTGCTCAGTGGGAGACCTACAAGTAAGGGCCAAGCACAGCCCAAATGAGAGTGATCAGGACAGGCAGCAGTACAAGGAAAATATATCAAAGCATCAAGAAAAAAACTGTCTTGAAAAGGAGCTTGTAAACATGTTTGCCAATCTGCTTTTTCCTGCCTAAGAGGAATGAAACAAGTAAGTACTGTTCAAAACACAGTAAACAGTGTTAAGTCATGGTAGCCTGAGCTTTGAGACAAGATACAACAAGTGCTAAATAATCTCTGGAACAGAATTAGGGTCTTTTACAATATTGCCTCCTAAAACTTGATGGTATTCTAGCCTACAAAAGGAATTTAGAAAAATTCAGCTTATATCTTACAGCTTATTCATCAAAGAATTTCAGTAGTAGCTACCTGGTACCAAGAGTTTTTCCTTGATTATCTATAATATGAAGCTGGACAATAATAAGCTCTTTAAGAAGTCACAAGAGTTGCCATCACAAATAATGTATTTACTGTATCAAATGGATTTTAAAAACCCAAGCATTTCAGAAGATGCTGAAAAGATGCAAAATCTTGCATTTAATATTAAAGTGTCTATTCACAACAGCAACACATGCCAGACTAATGAAAGAGAAATGAGAGAAGTTGTAAATGGATAAATGCTTCAAACCAACACTGCTTTTTTCCCTTTCATACTGAAAACTTCCTCTAAACATCCTTCACTGGCTCACTAATTCAATTACAGGATGATTAAAACACAGTCCACTTCCAGCTACCTGCTGTAGTGAAGAGAGACCAGGCAAACTATTATAGTCAAAACCCACACAGGTGACTGCTGGGGGAAGACAACCTGAAAATCATTGTAACCTTTCAGCTGACCATCATACATTACTCCTCTGAGTTGTTGGGTGGTTTCTATATGTGTTGGGAGAGGGGAAAGTGGTGTTTTCTTGAGGATTTTCAAGCACAAGAATAATCCCTCCCGTGACTTCAGGGATGCTGTGAGGTTTTCTATCAGGATTAATGGATTTCAGTGTAACTGGCAGGGCAGAACCAGGCCTTGCATGTTTCAGGCATCAGCCATAAGAACAGGCCCTATTGATTTCAGCTCCATCCTGGAGAGGGCAGTAGGATAAAACCTCTCCTGACACTTCCAGAAAAAAGCATCTCAAGCAGTCAGCACCCTTAAAGGGAATATTCTAGCTGCAGTATATTAGTATGCTGAGCTGGGAACAGGCTGTCTGAATTAACATTTCCAATTATGCTGAACATCCCTGAATGAGACCAGCTGTGCCCCATAATGACAGAAAAGATAAATACAATTTCTTCAACCTTCAGTCTGCTTTCTTTGCTTCAGCTCCCAGCTCGAGGGAAGGGATTACAGCTTGCTGTGTATCATGCTTAAGGCCATGTGCTCCCCAAATATTTTTAGACCTACCACAATTGGACAACAAAACATAGACAGTGGAGTTTGAGGACCCACCCTGAGCTGTGAAATTGCTGCTCTGCCTTCCTCACTTTCCTCATCAAGCTCATCATCACTCCATTCCCAGCCACCATCTTCAGTCTTATGAAGACGCCCACTGGAGCCTGGGACTCTCCGGACCTGCCCAGCACAAGAACACAGAATTTACATCTCAAACAAACAGTTTCTACAGTTGATTTTAGAAGAAATAGCACCAGAACATCTTCAGGTTCCATCACCTGCCATGCTGTCTGATTATTTTATTGAAACTAATAGCTCTACCTAGAAAAAGCTGTACTGCAGTAGTTATTAAAATGTGAATACAAGCACAAAAAATAGTACAACTGTAACAGCAAGAGCCCAGGAGGTTTTCAGTACCTTTTTGGATCTTTCAGTGATTGTTGGTGCTCTCTGCAACATCTTCTCTTGTAAAAACTCTTTATTCTGCAAAGAAAAAAATACCAAACATTTGCATTGCTGAAAATGTCCTTTGGTGCTTTCGCTGTCTCTGATGAAGTAACTGTTAAGTTGTTTCTAGCAGAAAGTGGTTTACATGTTTCATCCCTACTCCCCCAAGGATATTAACCACTCCCCTACTTTGGGCTGCAGTATGTGATGTTTCATCCTAAATACCTTTTCAGTTAACAGTGGCACTCTCCTTATGCAAAGTGTCATGGAATTAACAACTGAGGACCTGGATATTATTCTGATTTATCTGGAAATACACATATTATACTGCAGTATCTGGTACCCTGCTGAGGCATTTGGCATTCTTCCACTTGCAGCTACTACACCACCTGGATTCAACCACTTTGCTTTATCTTACTCCTAAATTTATGCCTGTCCAACTGTCAAAGGCAAACCTCAAACAGGCTGGGATGTAGGAATCCCTCTGTGCTGGAGCAAACAGAAACTGGGACAGCAAGATTTAAAGTGGCTGAAAAAATTTACAGCATTTATGTTTAGAGAGGAAGTAAATGCAGTGATCACAACAGACTAAATACTGAGGAACTGCTATGATGCTTTATTGAATTAAATTTCCTCTTCAGCAAGCTGCTCCAGACTGGTCAATGTGGGCTCCTGAGAATACAATTTTCTCACTGCTGAACTGTGGGGCCAAACTTGTAGCAGCAGGGGAAGCAGGCAGTCCAGGCCAGCATTCTGGCATTTGGCTGGGTATTCCACACCACACCAGTGCAATTGGAAAGCTCTGCTGTCCCTGCCCACGCAGAGCTCCCAGAACTCCCCAAGGATGGTTGCTTGCAGGCAGGATGGAGAGTCTCAAGACACACTGTCATTCCTGATAAGTGGCTCCCAGCATTATCAAACCATACTTTTACATAACCTAGATGGTATTTAAATATATGACTCAATATAGATGTATAGGAGCTGCACTCTTCAGCCCTCAAGCTCCAGCTGTCAGTTTGGCAGTGGCTGATGTGTGACAGTAATTTAACCCCAAGTGTGAACTGGCACAGGATGCCGGGTTAAGCAGTGCCTCATTTACAATAATGTTAATTTTCTATCACCACCCATGCTAATATGTCTCCAGCAGCTTAATGAAAGCACGAAGGAGATTTAACACACAATGAAGTGTAACATGAACCAGAACTTGAAGAACCAAATGGAGAAAGGTCGGTAATGTGTAAACCATCTTGTCACTTTGGACACCAAGTGTGCATCCAGCATACAGATGCAGACTAATCAGCTGCCTAAAATCCCACTACGGACAGTGAAACCCCAGTTAATACTGTCAAGAGCCCAGACATCAATTAAACCTGCCCTAAAGCAAACTTCTGCATTTCATCAACTGGATCATCCTCCAGACTTCCCTGGCTCATAAAATTAACAAATCACATAATACTCTGAGTCAGAAGAGACCCACAAGGATTGAGTCCAACTCCAGGCCCTGCACAGGACACCTCAATCCCACCTGAGAGTGTTGTCCAAATGCTCCTGGAGCTCTGGCAGCCTTGAGGTTGTGACCATTTCCTGGGGAGCCTGTTCAGTGCTCCACCACCCTCCAGGGGAAGAACCTTTCCCTAATATCCAAACTAAACATCTCCTGACACAACTGCAGGCCATTCCCTTGGGTCCTGTCACTGGTGACCAAAGAGATCAGCAGCTGACCCTGTGCTTCTCCTCATGAAGAGGAAGTGCAACTCTCCCTGGGTTGCACCTGTAAAGATTCCTGTCAGCTTTAATAGGGCATCCAGCTCCCGTACAGATACCTGGTGTGGCCAATTCCATTTAAGCATCTTAATCTGGGAGTTGAAAACTACTCTGATTAATTGGTGATGCTGCTGAGCTATGCCAAGTATGCAGTCTCTTTCTGACAGTTTAATCTTTATTCTGCTATAAATCCTGTGCACTTTGATCACAAAAAAAATAAGCAAACAGAAAACATTCCCCATGCTCATGGAAATGTAAATCCTGCCCTGCGTTACTGCTGTCTGTCTCCCGCAGTAAGACCTCGCACGTTGCAGATGCACTAATCTCCAGGCAGTAATTACATAATGCTTGCTGGCAGTTCACTCCAAGGCTAGAAATGGGAGTTTCCCACTGGTTTGTATCACAGGATCTTCACTTTCCATAAGGCAGCACAGGGTGAAACATCTTCAGGTAGCTCTTGCACAGTGGGCCTCATTCAGCCCCTCGCACACAGACTGATTAGAGAGTTTACTAAAATCAAAGTTACACTCACTGCAGCAGAGACCTTTATGGTTGGACAGGCAGCCAGAATGGCACCATTGCAAAGGAAGAACAAACCCAAAAGGCACTGAAAGACATTTAAATGCTCAAGAATTCCTAGATAATTTCTGTTAACAACAGCATACACAGGAGATACAGAAGGAGGATTTTATTCTGCTCCTTCACAATGACCCATTCAACTCACTCAGCTCTGCTGGCTCCAAGTGAAAGAGCCCACACTTCTGCCAGTAAAGCTGTCACCCATACCTATCGTGCTTCTGAAAAGTCCTTTGCACAGCCTCTGCACAAATCAGTTTAGGAAGTGTTTTCTTACCTTTGCTTTTGTGAAAAATTTGTGTCTTAGGAGTTCTGCTGCTGTTGGTCTGTCAATAAAAACAGATGTAGAAAAGACAATTATAAATGCTCCCTTTCAACCCAACGGTCTTCCAGGCTGCTGCAGCTTGTTGGCATCTCGTGATGGCATCAGCTTCTCCTGTATAATTCCCCTAAAATCAATGTATTCCAAGTAAATTTTACACCAGCAATCTTTTAAATTACTCAGTGTATTCTGAACAAGGCTTATTCTGTTCAAAAGCAATGAATAACTTGGGACTGGGGGGGAGAATTTGCTCCCATTTTGATGCTGAATTTGAGACTCTTAGATAACAACAGAATCACAGAAAAAAATTGCTCAAATTGGAAATCACAAAATCGTCACTGAAGTGCAGTACTCACCCTGTGCAAGTAATAGTTATTTCAGAGATACCTGATTAAATGTGTGTAATTAGTTCTATTAAACACAGGCAGGATGATCAATCTTGGTCTAAAAGAACATGAACAAGTATAAACTATTTTCCCCTTTAAGTCAGACTTCAGAATAAATACTGGAAAGTGAGAGACATCCCTTGGTCAGTTTAGGAGGAATTTGCTAAAGACTCAAGCCTACATAAGAAGGTGGCAGCTTACAGCATTTTCCACACTGCAAACAGTGCTTAAATAGTAACAGAGTTTAATCAATGACTTGCAAAGGCCATTCATCACAGGGTTTATTTCATCACAGAGTACTCCAACAAAAGGCATCCACCTCAGAGCAAGGGAGCCCCTAAAATAATGAAAAAGCAGTTGCACTAAATTCTCTTCCCATGCAATATGCCAACCTTCTGCTACCACAGTCAGGACAATGCCAGTGGCTGTTAGAAGTGCTTGAGGAGAGAAGGGGTATCCCAAAATTCAGTGATTATGTATAACCTGATCAGCACACATCCTAACCTAACAAGGATAGGATATGCTTTAGAAAGGTGAAAAAATGTCATACTGGGAAAAAAAAAACAGCTATTAACTTTTATCAAGCACTCCACTGGATTCATTATGCACTTCAAGTGTAATGCTTGTTAGAAGAGAGAGACTCATTGCACAGTGCGTGAGAAGCCTGTGTTCCTGGATCTGACACAAGAGGGAACTGAAAATGTCTTCATTATTATTATTTTATGAAAGCACTTTTTCCTTTCCAAAATTAAGTCTGCTTACTGAGGAGGAAAAAAAAAACAACCTAAGAGGTATTAAAAAATAGCACAGCAGACACACCATCCCCTTGGTAATATTTCCTACGTCACTGAGTAGTCAAGATACTGTTCAAGGAAGGCTGAAAGTGTCATCAGGTCACTTAAGCAATCTGTATTGATGAAAACATGTTGGTAAAATTTGTCAGTGTTTTTCCTGATTTCCCATCCAAACCAAATATGACATATAATTAAACAAGTCAAAACTACACTGAAAGCATTCTCTGCACTGTTAAATTTTAAAAAGTTTATTTATGTAGTTTGCAAGTAAACACATATTGCCCAACCCGTAATTTCTGATTTGTAAACACCAAGCAGTTTTGACTGGGAACAAAACATGAACTGAAGTCACCTGCTGGAGGTGGCCAAGGGAGAATGGCCCTACCCAGGCAGTGGACTGGGATGCACTCTCATTAACCCAAATGGAAAATGTGTGCCCTGGCCAGGCACAGTGCCAGATATTTATCCATAAAAATAAGGACAGCCAAGAGAATTTGTTGCCACACAGTAGGATTGCTGTGTTCCTTGTGACTGAAAGGTTGGAGGGGCAGAGGGTATACCAGCTTCAAAAAATAGGGAACATAATGATGTTTGTGAGTTAGGGTTTTTTTTTGTTTGCTTGTTTGTTTTAATTTATTTTGGTGTGATCCACTCTTACCTTTTTTCAGGGTCTTTTTGTAGGCACGATGAAATCATCTTCCTAAATGATTTCCCATATTTCTTCAGCATCTCCTTATCTTGCACACCAGTTTCCAAAGATGGAGGATCATTTTGTAGTGTCAGCATCAAAACCTGAAATAATTATTGCTATTGGCAATGAGGTCTTTCTTGGATGTTGTCAGAGACAGATCTTGGGGGAAATGTATTTCAGACAAGCACTTTCATCAAGCATCTCAGTCAACAAGCATGTGTTAACAATAAAGACCCAAAATTTAAGTTACTGCTTTCCATCTCATCTCTTGGCCCACACTGCAGTCTGTGGGCCAAACACAATGCTGGAATGTGTTTTCAGGTCTGTTCTGTGGGATTAAAAGTGCAAGCAGAGCAGAACTACTACCAGTTTTCCTCATTCAAGATGAGCAGTTGTGCAAAGCTTTTGATTCAGTATACCTCCCAGAGGTATTTCTTAGCTAGAAATCAAATTAAAGACAGAGGGGCAACATAAAAAGATACATGAGTTCACTTCCATGTACCAATGTGACAGCAGGTGAAGACATTCCTCACATAAGCAGCTATCAAGCCAAACTAGTTCTTTCCCTCACATCACTTAAATATTCTGAAGGAAAGGAAGAAAATTACTCATTTCCATTTCCACTTGTCACCTACATACAGATGAATATCTATTTTTAGAAAAGGAAACAGCACATAGCACATTTAAATAGCTTTCAACAGCTATATTGCTTAGGGCAGCAAAAGCCCATCAATCTAGCTGAAATTACACAGCCCATGACAGAATTCCCTGCTTTCTTCCCCACTCCTTGAAGGGTCACTTAATGCATGAGTAATTTTGCTGCATAACAAAATTAATCTGCAGTGCAATAAAATTACTTTCAATAAATAAAATAAAGAAATCTTCTTGCAGGTTGCGTGACTGGAACCCAAACCTCACAGAACTGGGGACTCAATTCTATCTAGCATATGACAGCACTAAGTAGGTGCTGTTGATATTAAATAGGTGATGTTGGTATTCAAAGCTTCATCCTGTGCATTCACACCACAATAAACTGAAGTAAAATTTGCAGGAGCTGCTGTAAAATGCTACCAATAATCACCCAATAATCACCCAATAAGCCCAGAAGGAAATAGCTGCTGTAAAATGCTACCAATAATCACAGCCCAGAAGGAAATGTCAATGAAACCAGCAGCACCTAAACCAGCAGCACTTTCCCCTGAACTGCTCTTTGCCCTGCCACAGCCACTGATATTGTAGGAAATTTAATGGCATTTCTGAACTACTCAGCCTCTCAACAGTCCCTGCACGTAGATGCCAATTCTTAAAAGTAATTCTGTTCTACAAGAGTCAAACCTGTACAAAGTTGTCATGGATATGCCATAGGAGTAGCTGGATTTCCAAATGCCATGGTGATTGTGGTGTGGGAGGGGATGCACCCAGGTCCTGAAGAAGTGACACTCAACTCCCACAGCACTTCAGCAGGTAAGACTGCAAAAATGGGAGTTTGCCCACAGTGTCACTGAATGGTTTGGGTTAGAAGGGACCTTAAAGCTCATTTAATTCCAATCCCCCTGCCATGCACAGGGACATCTTCCACTAGCCCAGGCTGCTCCAATTCCCACCCAGCCTAGCCTTGAACACCTCCAAGGATGGTGCATCCACAGCCTCTCTGGGTCACATGTTCCAGTGCCTACACCACTCTCAGATTAAAAAATTCCTTACTCACACCTAATCTAAATCTCTCCTCTTTCAGTTTACAGCCACTCCCCTTTGTCCTATCACTATCTGCCTGTGTAAAACATCACTGTCCCAATGCCAACAACAGAGGGACTTGTCACCCACAGGCCTTATATGCCAGGTCACTGCTCTAACCATCAGCCTCGGGGGTAGAACAGGCTCTCCACGTGCTTGTGTTTGATCCAAAGGACCACACATCCCAGGAGGAGAATCGAAGTGGCCTTCATGAGGATGGGCCAAAGGGGCTTAAAGTTTTGTGACTGAGACAAGGCCTCATCAGATATCAAAAAGGGGATAAGGAAAAAGATCTCAAAGCTCAGTAGAAGGACAGGTTGCTTCAGACCCCAGCTGCAGGGTGTCAACTCTTAACTTTGAGATGTACCCTCCCCCTGAAAGAGCAGCATGCTAGAAGCAGCTCCTGGTTCAAGAGTCATGAAACAGAGAGTTACCCAAACTTATAAGGTGATCTAAGGTTCAAGATATTCAAACAAGAATTTTGGTGTGTCATGGTTTAAAGAAGAACATTTCTTTCATTTCAACCTTAATAAAATACTATTGTTGACAATACCACAGTTTCATACTGATGTGGTACTTTGAACGGAATCAGTGATTGACAGGATTGCCAGTGTTAAACAAAATTAAACATTCTTTTGGATAACTGGTAACAGGAGAGATATCAAGAGAATGTCTGACAGGCGTTAAGAAGGATTATCAGTGCAAGAGAAAGAATGGCTAGCCAAGTGTCACTGGGTACCCATAAGGCATTCTGGATCATTATTTATAATCCTAAAAACATCTGCTGACTTCAGAGGTTGAAAACACACAGCACTTTCCTTAAGAATGGTGAGACTCAGGATCTAAATAAAAACTGCAGGTTCAGATAATGCTGATGAAGTGGCGTATTTTTAAAAGGTGATTCGATACATCCCAGAACATCATGATCCACAAGTGCAGGTTGAAAGGACAAACTCTTCTATGCAATGTACTAAGTTGAGAGGACAAACTCTTCTGTGCAACATGCTAGCCAAATTCTTGAAAACATCTACAGAACACACTGATCCCTTATCTTCACAAATATCTGGAGATCTGCTCACCTTCATCGGCGGGTATTTATGGTAAGGAGCTGCTCCTGTGGCCAGCTCAATAGCAGTGATCCCAAAGCTCCAGATGTCTGCCTTGAAATCATATCCTCTGACCTGAAAAATATTAGAGGATGTTATCATGTGCCTCTTGCTGTCCTACACTACCATCCCTTTCACACACCCTTTCCATACAAATTTGGAAAGACCAGCACTATAGAGATGGAAACAACACTTTCTCCCTTCTCTCCCCTCAGCTCCTCATACCTTCCAGGAGGTGTTTTCTTTGTTTCACCAAGCTCTGGTGAAAATCATGGCTGTGCACTGTACAAGCAGGACTGCTCTGCCATAAACTGCACTGCAGAACATAAAGGGGCACTGGGCTAACCCAGGCTCTGACTTCTACACACAGACACACAGAGTCATTACACAGTGCAATAAAACTCTCATAGTTAATAGATGGACTGCTACCCCCTGGGACACCCGCCTCACTACACTGTTAATCAACCTGACTGCAAATATGCTCCATCCTGGAACTTCACGACACACCAGCACAGTAAAAGCCCCTCATTCCTGCCTGCAGACTAATGTTTCTCTCCACTAATTAACAGTAGCTTCTGCACTTGACATTAAACACAGGCTTGTTCAGGAAAATTTATAGCATTTACTTCCCCTCCTGCACAGGAAAAAATATTTCATATGCCAAAGCAGTTACTTCCTCATTATCATTAGGTAATATTTTGGCACTTGCTTTCTCCACTGCAGGGGAGAGACATTATGTACTAACTTCAAGAGCACCTCCGAAAATCAAAGCATTTTGGTTGCTTAGGATGGTTTGTGTTTCTTCTCACTACGCTATGGAAAAATGAAAATTGCATCAGAGCAGAGCTAACAGGGGTACTGTGCTCAGCTAACCCAACAAGCTTCAGAAAGACACTCCTTGTGATGCAGCCAAAAAACATTCCCCAAGCTACCTTAAAGATGATCTTGAATCTTGGCAAACTAACAAAAACCCCTCCTGTACTATTTGTCATGTAATACTAGAGTTGGACTGAAACTTGTTATAGAGACAGGAATTTATATCTTGCACCGATTTCTTCCACTCTGTAAGCACAATTTTCATGAGTCCTAAAAGTCTGAAATGTTTCTTGAAGTGCCTCAGTTTATGGATGCCATGACTTTGAACAGATTTCAAGTCAGTTAAATAAACAAGCAGATATCTAGTAACATTTAAAAGAGCACAGGACAAGAAGAAATACACTGTAAGGGTGTTTTTTTATCTTCTCACACTATTTTTAGGTTTGGAGAATAACTTTTGGGTATTTCTTAGCTCCATCTTTCAGTTACTCTTGCAGCACACCAATACACTGTAGATCTCTCCATTTCCTGACAGGATTTTAACTGTTTAGTGCAAGGTTTTTTTTCATTATTTCACATAATCCTGCTTGCAAGTGAAAGCTAAAGAGCTCAAAACTGCCTGCAGCAGTTCATCTTGACATCTGTCCAATACATTAGTCACCACCCTGCAGTTAGTTTATATCAACAACATTTATTTTTCTCATCAACTTCTTTTTTTGCCATACATTAAAAGACAATGTTGAGCAATCAAATATTAACATTCTGAAGGAACTTAATGCTGCTGAAGTAAACCAGATGGAATTGGGTCGATAATATCTACAAGTGAAAGGCTAACTTAGAGCAAGCCCTCTGTCCCTCTTCCCGGCTGGATCCAGTGGCTCAGAGTGACACCTGCTGGAAAGCAGCAAGATCATCTAATAATGGACATTGAAGGATTTCACATCAGCATCCCAAATACTGCTTTAACTTGATATTTCCAACTGGTTAGATGTGCACAGCCTTGATGGAGGTATTGCACTCCGTAAAAAACTTAGCTCCTTTGGAAACACATTTGTGGGGAACCACCCCCCACTTTGTCACTGAGACCTTTATTAACCATTTTCAGCTCCCTCCTGAAGGTATTTTTCCCTTTTGTCCTGAGCACTGCAGCTGCAAAGAGCCTGGAACAGCACCATAAGGTCCTGGCCAGGCTGCTGAACCCTGGGCACAACACACAGGACAGAAAAGCAAGGGACAGCTCTGATCTAGCTTCAGAAACACCAAATACTCTTCATTTATTTTAACTCAGCAATAAATTTTTAAAAATCCAGAAGAATATGACAGTGAAGCGGTTCAGAATCAAGTTTGCTAAGACAACCCTGACTTGGGAAGTGTGGCTTTATCCCGCCCTCTTAGTCCTGCACTCTGAGGAGGCTGCAGCAGCGCTGGAATGCACCGGCCCCTCAGTCCCACCATGGGGAGCCACTGAAAAGGCCAAACATTGAACAAGCCTTTCATCAATAATATATTTAAGCTACTCCAAAATTACCTCCATTCCTCAGGGAGTTTTAGATATTGGAAAAAATGCACTTGTGTTTAGCTGCATTTGATTTTAGATACAGATATACATAGGGGTCTTATTCAAGATCCTCCGAAGCTTCAAAATATTTTACTGGAAAAAAAAGCAAGGAGAAATCTATCAGGGTAGATTTACTGTAATAAAACAAATCCTTAAATACTTTTGTTTAAAAAATTTGGAAAGAAAAATGGAAACCCATTTATAGCCAGTTATATTCTGCTTAGCACATCTGTCAGAAACCCAGGCCTATGTCAAGCTGATTTTAAGGTGATGAGGGATAATTTTCAGAATGTTCATGGCAATGAACATCAATGCCATCAATACCTACTGCAAATGCCTTGGTAAGACTGTGGTACAATTTTCTCTGTGAATCTTGCTAAGAAATGGGCAGCAATTTTACATTAAACAAAGTTTCCAGGTGTCCTTCACCAGAAGTCACACAGACAAAGCTTCTGTAGTTTAGTCTAGAAGAAGTGGAGGACAAAAAGTGGCATTTCTCCATGCAAGGGGAAGAAGTATGAAATCTTTTAGTGATCTAAAAGAGCAGAGGAAGAAGGGGGAGATGGAAGTATTCCTCAACATTTAGATACTCACAAGCCAAGAGAAGTTAAAACTGAACGAAGTCAAATGCACATTATTATACTGAATTAACTCCCCACTCTGACATAGCACAACAAACTATCCCAAATCTTGTGTTTGCAGATGCAGAAGAGCACGTTACTGAGCTGTGTATGGCATATTTACCATGAAACTATTTATATTCTACCTCACATTCATGCAAAAGGGAGGGGCAGGTTAGTCTTCTTTATGCAACACCTGAGCTGTCTCATCCTCACCTTAGGCAGGAGCCTGAAGAGAAGCAATGGGGCAAAAATCTACTGAACACTTAACATTCCCCAGTAAGAGGCTAGCTGCAATAGGCAAGTCAAAGAAAATCCTGTGTTTAAGAAAACTCTTCAGGATGTCAAATTATCATCTTAGAAATAAACATAGTCATTTCTGATAACAGGGAATTCCAGGTGCAGATCAGCTCAGAGGACACTGGGAAAACCAATTCACCTGTTCCATAACTTCTGGTGCCATCCAGCAAGGTGTACCCACAAAGGTTTTCCTGACTTTATTCCTGGTAATGTCACCACCAGTGGCCAGGAATGCACTAACACCAAAGTCTGAAAAGAAAACAAAAGCAGAATTAATTAAGAACACATCCTGAGCAAACTGAAGGGCTGTCCCTTCTTTCCCCTCATATTCCCAGCCACCCAGACCATGCAGTCACGCATGAGGGGTTTCCTAATAAAGGAGGAATGATCAACAGTTAGCTAAGAGTGCTGGTACATGAACTGCCATTCAGCAGTTCACCATTCAATTCCAGGGGACAGCAGAGCTTTCAGCCCTGGCTGGCAGAGAGGAAAATTCCACTTTCCATTACAGCCCACTGGTCACATTAGAGCCTGCCCACACTCCCCCAGCAGCCCTGCTGCTGTACAAAACCTGTCCTGCCAGCCAGAGCTGTATTTACATTTGCATACACACATAACTGCACTGACCCTCAAGCAGCATCCTGTAACATCTACAGCAATCAAGATGGGTGCAGAAAAAGTCCCTTGAAAGCATTTAACTGTCCTAATTGAGGTATCAGCCCTTTATTCTGGATTTTTTTATTACCAGAACATGTTTTAGTTGATAATCCTCCATGGCTGAAATGCTCAGTGCTTTAACAGGACCTCAGACTGATGATACTGAACGTGCCACAGAGCAGCCTGAGCATCCCAGGGAAGCCTCACAGACACTGAATCACACCCTGCACAGCATCACCCCACCTGAAACACCTTTCAAAAACCAGGATGCTCAAAGGATGCCCTTTGTGCTCACTAGTAATTGCATTTCTTGGGAAAAATCACTCTTTTATGTGAAAACTATGCTGTAACCTCATGTTTTATGCAATTAAGAATGGCATGGAAAACAGAATCTGTTACCAGCAGCAGCATACAGGGATAGCAATAAAGTATGTTTGTTCAGAGAAGAGCATTACCAAAGATCTGGCAACCAAGTCATTCAAGAGAGGATGGCACTTTGTTTGGAGAAAAAAAAAAAAATCAAGTGACAGGGAAACTGTTAACACTGAACTGCTCTAAACCACACTATTTATGTATTGCTGAATTACAGGCCTGCAAAGAGCCTATAACTCAATATATAACTCATTTCCCCATAACTTTATCCAAACACACACTTTTTTTTTTTATACACAATACAAGCATCAAAATCTCAGATGCCATTTTTGAGATTGGTAACAGACTTGGAGAGCAAATCTCTGAAATTCCAGGGCTATTTAACATAAAACCAGAACATTCTTAACCACAACCGGCTTGAAAATTCTTGAGACTGTTCACAATGCATAATGTAAAAGCCTTTGCCTCTGTGGCCAGAGGAGCCAGAGTTACTCCATGGCTTAAGGATGTTAAATTGGAGAATTAACTGCAATATAAATCCCTCTATACAATGTGTAAGTCATGGTATCCATATGAGGACTGTCCCAAGTTCCCTCTGCATCACACCAGCAGTGCAATGAGTCACTTCTCATTAGAATTTCAATATTTGAGAAACACTTCTGAAATTATCACTCAGAAGATGCTGAAAGCTTCCAGCTCAGTTCAGTTAGAGATTTCCAGGAGAGGAACTTAGTGCTCACTGAAGTACTAGACACGGGTAACTGCAAGGTGACATTAAATAAAGTTGCATAGAAATCACAGGGCTAAAATAAGCACTAACAAAAGCCTATCATTAAATGGATTCAGCTCTTCCAGATGTGCTGACTTGTTCTTTTCCTGTTCCCAAAGGCATTTTGGCTTCCTGCTGTGCTTGAAGTTTTATCACTCCTAGATGGATCACTGTCCCCATCAGTACTGCAATCTGAATCTTCTGGAAATCGACTTTTTGCAAAAGTGATTTTTGCTTTGAGATCTTCCATGTGAGTATCCACCATTTTTGCTTTTCTCAGAAACTGCAGGAGTTCCCTAAAAGATTCAGAGTAAAGTTGCCTTTCACTGCTCATTACAGGAAGTCTCCCAAGATCTATTGTTCTAAACACAAGAGCAATCAGAAGTTCTTTTAAATAAGATAATACTAACAGAAACTTGTCCAAGTGCCATCAGCATTTTATTGTGATGTGCTGTATTTGAACTTGCACATATTATCTTACCTCAAGTTTCCATGCAGTCATTTTGAGGGGAAAGGAAATGCCATTCAAAGCAAAAGCATTCCAGCAATAAAAACACAAGTCCTTCACACAGTATTCACCACATCTCACATCAAACCAGGGTTTATAAATTCCAGATGGAAATCAGGCCCTTACATCTGCCATCTGAAGAAAGCTTAAATGGAATTAAAGTTTATTTCATTACATGGTTGACTTATTTAATGTTTTCCCAATTAATTTTCCTCATTTCCAGTGGGCTAAAACAGGCTCAAACAGCCTGTGCTACTCCCCTGTAAGGAATGACTTTGGGACCATCTTCTCAAATGTCATCTTACTAACTTTATCCAAGCCCCAGCCATTCAGATAAGAATATGCCTGCTCTCAGGAAATATCTGCAGAGCAATAAAACACAACTCCAACCACAAGTTCAGGTTAAATTCCTTCTGAGCAGTTGGGACCTCAGTCTTTCTGCCCCCAGAAAGGTTAAAACAGAACTAGTTTATTGCAAAGGAATTGAACTCTAGAAAATGGGGAAATCCATGAAATTCAGGATAGCTCCAAAGTGTTTACAGATTTGTACTCTTCCTTGGCAGCTCGTGGTTTACATTGGCTCACTCCAGTGATAACTGGCAAGGACTGAATCACCAGAGACAGGGAGGAATTGGAAACGCTTGGACCTGGTTTGCAATACCAGTAACCACCACTGCTGGGGATGCACCGACTGTCAGATATCCTAAAGGAGCCCAAAAACTGCAGACCGCCAGCAATCTGATAGCAAACAGTCTCCAGGGTGTCTGGATGGAAGTGGTGGGATCTTTTCCTTTTTTTCTTTTCAATTTTTCCGAAGCAATGTAGAAAAGATTCATCTGTTGGAGTTGTTTCAGTCATTTAAACCAAAGATTGCTAAAAAAAATACCCATGAAGATGTGTATCTCCAGACTTGTATATCACAGCGAAACCAATCCAGAATGGGAATTCAATTGTGCTGATGCAGGTTCTACATAAAATATGGCCAATTTTGTCCCTTCCAGCAGAAACGTGTTACAAACCACATATCCTACAGGACACTGCAGTGGCATTGAAGTTGCAGAGTGCGAAACCAATCCAGAATGGGAATTCAATTGTGCTGATGCAGGTTCTACATAAAATATGGCCAATTTTGTCTCTTCCAACAGAAATGTGTTGCAAACCACATATCCTACAGGACACTCTGCAGTGGCATTGAAGTTGCAGAGCAGTGTTTGAAAAAGCACGCCATGAGGCAAAAATTCCTGGTACTATGGTATCCAAATTGTCAAACTTAAAAACTACTCAGGAAATGTAGAAGTTGAAAAGGACAACCCAGTACAAACAACTCAGCAACATAAGAATGCTGTGGCAGGATCACATCACAACAGGCACCACTGCAGGTGTCTCTCAGGAAGATACATGTCTACAATACTCTAGACTGTTTATCCAAATCTAGAAGTCAGCTGTTAAAAATAATCTCTCCTTGGTCCTCTCATATTGTAACATTACCTTCATCCTAAAAAGCCCAAGTACCTGCTACTACATGTAGCTACCTACAAGCTACATAGAAGGGAAAGAAAGGAAGAATGAGCACTAAAAGCCAGGACTAAAACTTGCTGATATCAGAGGGGCTCCTACTGAGTTTTGTATGCTTGAATCAGACCCTAAAGCAGTTTTCAACTTCAACAGGGGCAGAAAAACAGAATAATTCAATCTTGACTTCAAAACCACTTTGAGTTGTCTTTAAACAAAAAGCATTTCAGAAGACAGCGCTAGATGTTGTTTTTACTGGTCACCTTCCTTCTTGTTCAGTTGTTCACCATCAGAAAATATCTGCAGTTCTACTCAGTGCTTTCCTGCAAACCTTAAAGCTTTTAGAGCACTGAAGATGAATGAACCTGGCAGCAGGAAGAGGAAGGCAGTGATAAATAGCAATTTTGTGCTGAGAACGCAGCAGGTGGTAGGACACCAGATAAAAGGAAGATTAGTGGAGAACAAGAATCAAAGGCTTCTTTCCTTTTAAAGTCTAGATTGATGCACAGTGGTATTGGATCTGTAAATCCACACTTGTCCTTCTGCTTCACAAAGTAACTTCAAGATGACAAATCCCAGGCTGGGTGACGCCACTCACTGCCCTCGGAGACGTTCACAAGTGGTTTCAACAATCAAACAGTGCAACATCTCTTCAGGAAACACAGATAGTACCAGTGACACAAAGAAGTTATTTCACAACTCTCTGCTAGAAGTCTCCACCAATCACAGAGAAAAATACTTTTGGCCCTTTTTTTGAAAGGCAGAAGAGGCTCCAAGGTGTTCATAACACAACACAGGCTCCTTGAGCAAACCCTGCAATCAACACTCCCCTCCCAAGTAAGATTTGTGCCTTGCCCCTTGTTCAGGCAATTTAATCTCCCAAAGTTAGAGTTTCCTAAGGGAAAGTGGGGAATGACACTGCCTGCATCATAGCTCTATGTTTATGTAGAGCGCTATTTTAGTGCCATGAATTAAGAGCAGTCAGGAACACAGCGAACCGGTGACAAGCTGGCATGGATTTGTGGAAAGTTACACAAATTCAGTTACACAAGTTTTGCCTGGCCTTAACTATCCCCGTTTTATAAATAGATAAAGAGAGAGGGGTTAGGCAATTTGCCCAGGATCAATTAGCAAGTCCTGAACAACTTAGTGAAATCTCAATCTACTTCAACTGCTTGGCAACACGGCCTGCCCAGGCCACAGCTGACACTGCGGGCACCTCTCGGGAGTGCACACTGAGAATTCTCTGGTTTTAAATCCTGAAGGGATCATGTTATTGTCTCCAGAACAAAAAAATTCCACACATGGAGGGATGTGTACCTCTCAGCCTTCAGCAGACACTTGTATCATCACATTCAATCTCAGAGGGGTGGGTGACAGCATTATTTAATAACCCAGTGGATAAAATCAGAGGAAAACAAAGATCTAGTCTGATTTCAGTCTCAGTAGGATGCTCACATCATGCCATGGCTGAAGCGTGGCTCATACTGAGCAAGTCTCATGCACCCTGGGAGAGTTTCTCCTCAACCTCTCCCATCCCTTCCTCATCTATCAAGATGTTCACTTCATTTCACAGTAATTTATAGGTCCTGCATAATTAAATAAACTGACAAATGCAAAGCCTTGCTTACTGTGAGAAGCCATCTCCTGGTTTATGCATCAATACTGATGCCGATGCAGTTTTATGTTGACAGAGTGTTTTTATCCGTGCACTTTTAGACTCCAGGGAGCTGATAAATGCCAGAGCAAAGAGGTTTTATGCTCTGATTAAAAGAAATGAAGTAATTGCCATGGAGAGGCTGGAACACAAAAGAACGTGGCTATCTCCATTTACATTGCAACCACTGTCAGCACAGCCCAGAACAATGGTATCTGGGAAAGAGTCCTGCTCTCTCCAGAAGGCAGATTAATCCAGTGTGAAGGAGAACTTCAAACTGAGAAAGTGACACTGTGAATTGTAACAGGCTCCAAAAACTTGGTGCCAAGCCACAAGCCCAAGTGCCCTTGGGGAAAAAAGGAGAAATGTTAAGATAAAAGCAAACTGCCTCACTTTAGGTCTCGCTGGTCAGCTGGATCTGTTAAAGGCAATTTTCTCCTTGGGTCAGTGGATGCACTTTTTGAAAGCCAAAGGAGTGACAGAGTTAAAAATAGAGTCATGAGTAAAAACAAGACTCGGGGAGGAGTTTCAAGCTGGGAATTTGTGCAAGCCATTAGAGGAATTTTTAGAATTCCCAATTCCAGCAGATGCCCCCAAGCTCACAGACGTCTCCATCTCTTTACCTGCAGCAACCTCAACTCATAGTGCTCCCACAGTGGCTCTCCCCATATGCACGAACACCAATCCAGGGTTACAAACAGAACCTGAGAAATGTCTGACACACCTTCATCAAGCTGCTTTTTCTGTTCAGCCTTAACAGAATTACAGAGCCCAAAATTCACAAAAGAAGCTTTAATTTTCATTGGTTAGAACTTGTAACACTGCAGCAAAATTACTGCCACGATTTCCACACAGTGAAAGTTTCAAGCAGTTAAATTCACTGACACCTTGTGGAGGTACAGTCCTGGTGGTGGTTTCCACCACTCAATCTCAAATGCTTTTTTCTCCACAAAGGATTTCCAGATTGAGATGTACATTCCTCACTTACATTTGAGAATTACATTTCATCAGGGACAAGGAACAGGAATTGTGTCAAGCAGGAGGAAAGGCACAGGAACACAAGGTCACAAAGGCCAAAGATTGAATAAGACCTTCTTAAAAACTGTTCACAGGCAGTTTGGATAGAGGAGTGCAGAAGGGAAGGAGTCATTATAAAAGAATGGAAGTCTTTCTTCCCTGCGACATGATTTAAATTTTTCATGTATACCAAACCAGCTCCTTGTAGGGAGGTGCCCCATTCACTCCAACCCTCAGGCTACATTCCACAGCTGATCAATCTTTTGTTTTTTATCTCGTGGTGTAACTTTCCAGAGAAACTTAAGAGCATTTGTTTCATGGGAATGAAATGATGTCATCCAGCTTATAATTGAAGCACTCAACAATCAACAGAATTATTCATAATATGCATTAATATTATTGTCAAAGGCAAGTGCTTTGATCTCACTGAAACAAATCTCGTTTTATTGGGATTGGTTTGCTTCCAGCATTTTTTCCTCCTCAAAAAATTCCCCAGAAATTCGGCTACTTCATCCTGGGTCAGGAGGCAAGGAAGCTTAAGTGTCAGAAATTCCCACAGAAACAAAATCTCATGTTATGACCAGGTCAAGCTCTTCTCTATTATTCATTCATTTATTTTCATTTCTTTCAAGTCATCAGCTGCCTCCACAGAAACTGAAATACTTCCTGCCACTGCAGTGAACCCTCTGACCCTGGTTTAGTGGCCCTGCTGTGGCTGATGAAAGGTGGCAGGGCTGGTCCTTCTGCATGTTCAAAGAAAGAATTTGTGAAGACGGAACTTTGCACATCTCCAAGTGCTGCTTTCACAGGATATGCAGAGAGATGAATTTCATCATTTAGGTGTTGCACATATAAACTACAAGCAGTTCAGTCTAGGGAACATGTATAATCACAGACAAAATAAATCCTCTGAAATGCACAGAGCTAAGACCAGTCAACCTTAAATCTATTTATCAACTGAAAATTGCTCAGCAGAAAAAAAATACACAAATACCTATTGCTAATGAGCCTTAATACAAAAAAGCCAAGGCCTGACAGCCTTGTGGAAGAGAAACACAAGCAGCTCTCTCTAGGCTGGCAGAAACACTCAAAGTTTCAGCTTTTTGCAGCCTCTCCCAAAACAGTATCAAAAGCTCTGTGCAACTGCAAATCCAGCATATTATATCTTGGTCCTATTATGGAAAAAAATGTAGGATTTCACTGTATTAAGTTTGCTCCTTTGAGCATTTTAGAAGCCACTCCCTACCTTCCATCAGCTGCCACATAACCGAATTATTTACATCTCATTAGAAATGTAACAGCAGGCATTAAGGGCACCAGGACATTTAAAAAAGAAAACAAAGACACTTCAGGTTTTCAAACAGGAATAGGTGATATGTCCTGTAAAAGGGCTTATTGTCCTCTGCAGAGAGGAGAGCTACCTAGAAAAAACTGCATTGCAACATATTCTACTTCCTGGTGGAAAATCTACACCTTTCATTGCAAGATGCAAAGCCAAGCATAGGTATTCCAAAGGAATAAACAATGCTACAGGCACTTCTCCCTCACACAACTGTCACTGCCTCATCCCTAAACTCCCACCACACTGGCCTGACCACTGCTGTGACTCTACCAGCAGGACAGGGCACTAAAGAAGAGACCTTGTCAGACACAGGTATGGCTCTTCCCAATTAAGTATGGGATTGAAAATGTTACACATGTACAGGGATGTTTGCCAAGCTGGCAGCAGGGGACAGAGCTCTGCTCCCCAGCTACAGGTGGCACTAGGACTGGAAAGGCACTACAAGATCCATGGGAAAAACACAGTACTGAGGAAAGGAGAATTGGAGAAAAATTGTACTCAGGATAGGAAAACAGCACACTGGGAAGAGAAGGAAAAACAAATATCACAGGTTCTAAATGTACTCTCCAAAAATCTTGGCTTACTTAATAGTCTGTAGTAATAATAATAATAACAATAATAATCAAAAACACAGAATAGTTTTGGTTGGAAGGGACCTTTAATGGTCATCTTGTCCAACCCCCTGCCATGGGCAGGGACACCTTCAACCAGAACAGGTTGCTCAGAGCCCCATTCAATTTTGAATGTTTTCAGAGATAGGCCATAATTCTTGTTTTCTGAAAAGAAGAGTGACGTCTGTAGGAACATGTATAAAATAAAGTATCAGGAGAGGATCAGGGGGAAAACACTCCACACAGTACCCTTTTCCACAGTACCCTTTTCCACATGGTCTGTCCCCACCCAGGACTGTTCCCAGCACAGTTCTGTTGCTGCAGCTCATGTCAGCAGTGACTGCAGCAGACATCTCCAGGCACATCTGTATGAGCTAAAGCAACTGTCTGAACAGATTTGCTTTGCGTGACTGCTCCCAAGACTTCCAGCTCACCCCAGTTTGGGCTGGGCCAGGGCAGCCACTTAAACACCCTCTCTGCTATCCAGCTCAACTTAAAGCAGAGCAGGGAGCATCCACAGGAGCAGTTTGACCGGCTGATCTTTCCTTAAATGACTTTTACCATCAGACATGTCCATTTCCTTCTGATGGATCTGTCTACCCTTCACCAGAGACCTGTGGAAAACCACCTCACAGGTCAATGATAAATCAGTGAGGTCTGTGCACTCCACTTCCAAGCCTACAACCTTGCTGATGTAAAAACCTGACTAGCTTGTGCCAAGAACTTTATCTGATCTATTGATTCTGAGGACTTCACAATCAAATGATTTATATCTGCTGATGGTCATTATTCCAAGTAATAGTATTTTAAGATAACAAGATGTAACAAACTCTGGGTTGGCTTTTTGTTTTAGTTTGTGGTTTGTTTATTGTTTTATGAACTGTGGGGCTTTTAGAAGCTAACATTTTTATGCAGGTTTCTCTCCTTGATCATTAAACTATTTCCTTGGATATGCAGTTACGACTAAAGTTTACTCAAAGCTACCAGGGAAGTTACCTGCAATTTGCACTGAGCCATCTTCTCCAAGAAGAATATTTCCTGCTTTCACATCCCTGCAGAAACATAAAGCAACAATAAGTGGAAGTCATTAAATCTTTACTTCAACCAACAAAAATACATTAAAAGGTTATTATTTTTTATACTTAGTATTTCTTGCCTCAAATCATGCAGAAATAAGGACTTAATTGCAACTTCAGTACACAGGCATTAAATAGTATTTGTATGATTTATATTTTAGGTACTACACACAGAGAAGAAAAATTAAAACTTTGCAGAAGGTACCCTTAAAAATGCAAGGAAAGTGGTTTGTCCCAGGTTCTTAGAATTAGCTAATAAGGTGAAAAGTGAATCTAGCACTGGTCAGAAACTCATGTACCCCTTTAGGGGGAGAGACTTCAAGAGACTGTGAATTGCTCTGGTTCTCACTAAGCCCCACATCTCACTGCTCTTCAGCCCTTCTTGTGCTCCCTCAGGAAATCAGTTTAGCCCCATACACTGGTGAAAATCCAGAGCGCAGAAAAATGTTGCTTGCTTCTGGCTTAATGAGCCTGGTCAGTGAAAAAAAGTCTCCCTGTTATCTTTTTTTTTTTTTCTTTTAATGAACAAACACACAAGAACATCCAGCATGTGCTATGAATGTCTTGTACTTTCCTCTTTCTAGCCAAAAGCTCTGGTTTGCAGGTTAACAGCAACACTTCTCCATTCCTGAGGGGAACACTGCTTTCACTGCAAACACTTTGAAGTTTTCCAGTTTATTTTCACAGGCTGCTCCACATGCCAAGCCAAGAGAAGCACTTCATAGTTGACACCCCTGCTCATCAGCACGGCTGCTAAGCTTGCACTGCCCAGGAACGCATGCGGAACAGGAGCAAAAAGAAGAAAACAACCCTAAAACAAGCAGATTTTCCCTCCACTGCCTTTGGCAAATATTCCAAATCCTTTCACATACAGAAAGAAGTCCAAAGCTATTTTTTTCTTTTCTCCCTAGTGCATCATGAGAACAGAACTGGTGTGATGGCCTGGCCAAAGAGCCCCAGTCAGGCCCTGGAAATCTCCTCCTTCCTGGCTTTGCTATTCTGAAGAGGAGGCTGGGTCACTGCCAGTTACAGGCCAGGATAATTTTAAACACATCCTCTCCAGCACTAGCATTTGTCAGACTCTTCCCAATATCCAGTCTAGGACAGTGGCATGGCAAGGTTTTCCCCAGCAGACAGGAGAAAAAAACCTGTCCGTAAGACAGTCCCACTAAAGATGAACAGCAAACTGCAGCTGTACAGGAAAAATTCTTATTTGCTTTAATAACAACAATGCGTAATTTCAAAGTTTCATACAGATCTGATAGCCTCAAGAAGCTGACTTTCCCTTCCAGAAGCACTATTTTTGTTTTTTTCCTGCAACCAGCACCTGGTAGCCATTGCAGACAACACAGCATCAGTGGATGCTCTTAAATACATGAAGGACCTGAAGGGATTAAATGCAGAATTAAGCAGGTGGCTGCACTACCCCCCTTAGCATCCATTGGCCAAATCCAATATAATTGGTGCTGTTGAGCTAATTGCCATGAAAGACACAAACCTGACTGAGCCCTGCACTCCCACAAACTGCTCATGGTCCATAAAAAGGAGGAATGGAAAAGCTCCCTGCCAATATTTAGGTAGAAGATGCCTCTGGGATCCAGCCCCAGGAGCGCAGGGAGCCACGAGAGCGCAGCACTGAAGTCTGCTGTGTCCTAGGTGAGGAGCTGGCTCACACAGTGTGAAATGTGCTTGGCACAGGCACAGCCACCTCCAGGAATCCCCCTGCACACCAGCACTAATTCAGAGGGAACACAGGGTGTTCAGGAAACTCTCCAATCCTACTGGAAATGTTTACCCACAGCTGATTCTCCTGTGACAGCCAGGATGCACGAGGCCCTGCCAGTTCCAGGTCATGGGGAAAGGAATAGGATGCATGAGGTTGCCTGTTGAAGTTATTAATTCTCTTACTGGAGTAAGAGTAATTTCCTCTTCCATCTGTACTCCAAGGCAGCCCAGGATGCTGGAGCATTTCCCCAGCAAGCTGGGCCGTGCAGTATTGTACAGCCTTTCCAAACTTCCCCTCTGGCAGAGCTGCACACGTGGCTCACCAAGCCCCCACAACAGACCATGAAGGAAGTGCCAGGGAAGATTTTAAGCAAAACTAAGGATGACATCTCAACTATCACACACTTCACAATCTAAAACAACTCAGGCAGGTTTCACTGGTGTAGCATCAGCAGCCAGAAACCAGCAGGCATTCCCTATCACCAAACCATCCCACCACAGCAGAGGAGCTGGGCAGGCTTGGAATGCAAGAAGTAGCAAAACAAGCACTCAGATTGAATCCCATAGAAAAAAATGAGCCCAAGGACTCCAGGCCCTTAACTCCCTCAAAACAAGAGGCTTGTTTTCTTTTTAACTTCAGCTTGGAATAATTAAAACTTATATATTTTCTCATTGGAAACAAAAGTCAGTAAACATGATGCTTAAAGCTGGTTCAAGAAATTAAAAGAAGTCATGGCCACAATATGAAATCCAGGAGGCCAAAACAGCCACTGCCAAATATCCAAGTCAAACTACAGAACTACATCACCATTTCATGTGGCACTTCCTCACAGTGACCAGCCCTCTGCAAAGGCCATCACTCGCCCCAGCCTGGCACACACCACCCCAGAGCAGCAAAACTGATGGGACAGCAAGATGTTTGGGGAGTCACTGTTTCCACTGAGGAGTCACTGTTCCATAGAAGCAACTTCCAGCTTTCCCATTCCTTACCCCAATGTAACAGCACTGCAACAGCATCAGGTGAACACAGAGCAGCCTTAACACTGGGGGAGCACTCACCCCTTCCTTTTAGCAAACACTGGTGCAGTAGCAGCATCTTTGAAGCAGGTTCTCCTCTAAAATCATATTTAAAATTAAGTGCATTTGAAGCAATGGGGCAGGGGAAAGACGATCAGTGCTTTCCTGTTTATTTTCATCAGGAGATGCTTATAAACTTGTGAGCTGAATGGCGAGAAGTTTGTTACTCCAGGATATAGTTATTGCCAAGTGTAACAATTTGAAGGCACTTCCCATTAATGTGGTAATGACCATATCCTGGGCTGATACACTGGGAATAAATTGTGTGCCTCTGGCATAATTGCTATAGTGGAAACAGGAAGCAGCTTTAGCGTAAACAATAATTATATCACATTTTAAATGAAGTTACAGAAGGCTAGAATAAACTTTCTTGTCAATAGCTTAACAAATGCTACAGTAGTTCTGGACACTCCTGCTCCACAGCTGTCATCTTTCTCTCTTCTAAAGGCTTCAAGAGCCTTTCCACAAAACAAGGACTATGTTTTCATTTACCTTGTACTTCACAACCAGAGTGGGAAGAGAGGTTTGGACTCACTCCAGTGCAGAGCTGGATTCTCCACATCAGCCTTGAAAGGTTTCACAGCAGGGCAGAAACCCTTCTTCATCTGCATTCCAAACTGGTTTAGCTTCCCAGTTTGACCAGACAAGAGTTACATCACGTTAGTGCCTCCAGGATGGGGCTGGGCCCCAGGCATGAGGTGCTGTATGAACAAATCTCATCCCAAAACAAAATTAGGGCTGAGCTCCAGCTACAGGAGATTTGGGAGCACAGGAAGGCAATGAGATGATGCTCCCCAGTTTTAAGTGCCATGTACCCACACTGCCTTCAATTAATTTTTCAGTGGGGCACAGGGAAACTACATGAACTGTATCCTGGTGGCTCGTTACAATAAAGAGTCCTTAAAATCCTGCTAAATGCTCAGATCCACTCTCATCTGTAGAACTCAATCCTTGGCCTAACCCAGTAGTGGTTGTTACAGCCAATGCAACCACAATAGAAGGGACCTGAGCAAAGAATGCCATTCCCAGGAGCTCTGCAGCCCAGCAAAGAGAAGAAAACTGTCACAGGAGAGGGGAAACAGATAAGCCCTGTTTACTCTGCCTCTGCTTCCAACCTGCTGGCATGTGCCTTTAGAACACAAAGCTGGCTGTAAGCACAGCCGTGACTCATTTGCCCATTAGATGCAATTTACATCAACTGCAACAATAAATTTTCATGGACTGAACTCTATAGTGCATAATTTGGCACGAGGAAGGAGTGGTTGGTCCTGCCAAGTTTCATTTAAAGAAAGAGAAGGTGCAAGATGCAACAATTACTATTTTCTTTTAATGGTAATGAATAACTCAAAATATTTATGCTGAATGCAACCAATTGCTGGAGTTGACATTGTTCTGAGTAATTTGTAAAATACTTCCAGGACAATAGCTCTACATACAGTTAAATAAGAGGCAATCTGTGACATTTCACATCAAATGAATGCTATTGTCCCTCCACCATCAAACATTCCTCTCTCTTCAATATGCTGTTACCTGTGTCACCTCTTCCCTTTGCCTTATAAACCAAGATATAAAAAGCTGGTGACAGGAGAGAGGTTTACCATTTAGAGCTGCAAAATGTAAACTAGGCTTGCAGTGTGCAGGCAGATCAGTATTTTTACCCCCTCAAATGTCAGCACGTTCAGTACAGCATAGGAGAAAGCATTCAAGGCAATTGTACTGGAAGTGCTATACATGAGCATGTCCCTGCTCCAGCTCAGAAAAGCTGTGTGCACCAACATTTTCATGCCACAGCATTGAACCTAAAATCCCAAGCTCTTGGGTGAGGTGCAATCACTGCCTGTTACAGTGCTGTACTGAACTGCAGAACCAGACTCTGAAACATCTCCCAGAGCTTGAAGGTTTTCCAATGGCAGAGAGCTGGCAGAGCAGCTTCCATACTCCCTGCTGAGCCCAGCATAAGAGGAGGGAAGAGAGGGCCAAGTCCACAGCTTGCTTCATCCCTGCTCATCCACAGCCCTCTCAGCAGGTCCTCGTGGCCACTGGCAGCCGGGCCCAGCGGCAGCAGCCAGGCTGCCATAAATTCCAGCAGGGGACCAGCCCAGTGACATGCTTTATTGCCCAGGATCAGGCAAGCACAGCAACTGCAGCTTCCCTCTTCTCTGAGCTGCTCTGTC